TGGCAGCCAAGTGGGAAGCCCCCCTATGTCCTGTCCACTATTTTCTCTACATCATTGCCTCTACCATGAGCCAGGCCACCACTGACCCTATCCACACCCATCTGGTCAGGCTCTTCAGACACCCTGATGCATCCCCAGAGGCTGGGTCCACTGCGACACCTGCCTCCACCCCTGGAGGTATCCCCTGACCTCCCACCTCTTGTCCTCAAGGGGCTACAGCATCTTGGTCTTCCTGTCTGCAACCTGAGTGGGCCTCGCTGGTGACCCAGAGAGACATAGCAGGCCCTTTCCCAGCCCCAGGAGGTGGCAATGACCTGGCATCTCATGGGGAGGAAGAGGGCCTATGGCAGGGTTCTGGGACCTCCACTCTGGCTCAGCAAGGCAGAGTCCTACTTCTGTAATGGAGGCTCCCCTCAACACTATGTCCTTCTGTTGGCTGTGCACACCGTAGAATTTATGGGATGATAAAGGAAACCAATTATCCTAACACATGGTTATAAAAACTTATGATATAGAAACCTGAGTGCTTCTTTATTAGCTCACTAGAAAGCGAGCTGCACACCTATAATCCCAGCACTCTGGGAGGCTGAGATGGGTGGATTGCTTGAGTTCAGGAGTTCGAGACCAGCCTGAGCAAGAGTGATACCCCATCTCTAAAAATAGCTGAGTGTTGTGGTTGGCAGCTATAGTCCCAGCTACTCCGGAGGCTGAGGCAAGAGGATTGCTCGAGCCCAAGAGTCTGAGGTTGCTGTGAGCTATGATGCTACGGTACTTTATCAAGGGCAACAAAGTGAGACTTGTGTCTCAAAAACAAACAAACCATAACAACAACAACAAAAACCCCCAAGTTGTGGTGTTGGGCTGAACGCCCACGCAGAGTGCAGCAGCAGTGAGTTTGCGCAGTGTCAGACACAGCAGTTGCTGGTGTGAAGCAGCTTTGGCTTATGCTGTGTTGGTCACAGGCCCTGATGACCAGAGGTGGCTTGTGGCTTTGCTCATAACTGAAGGAGTGATATGTTTCCCCTAGAGGCCAGCAGACAGGAGATGGTGATTTCTTCCTGCACAGTTTTTTTCTATCAGGATATGGTTACTGACCGCTTGGACCATTGAGACCCCATCCCACTCCTCCCTTTTGCCTTATCCAGGCCCCCCACAGCTCCTAGACCCTGTCTCTGTCTCACTCCCTATCTCAACAGACAATATTCTGGAGGATGTTTGTCCCTCTCCACAGCTTGGGTGAGGTTGTTGGGGCTGGGATTTACTATCATCCCAACTACCACCCGCTGGGAACCCTCTATAGCCCTGAAACCCAACTTCCAGCCCTCCTGAGCCTCTTCCCGCCTCTGGGCACAGTTCTTCTCATACCCCAGCTGACCTGTGTCCAGTACCTCTAACCTACATGTAAGTACTACCAAGGACAAAAACCCCAGGGCCCACCCAAAGGGGCAAGGGTATTTGTTCTTGACCAGCTCCCCAGATCATGCTTTGAGAGTCACTGTGCTAGGGCATCTTTGTGGATTGAAATGTTTAAATGAGCCAAATATTTATTTATTTATTTATTTATTTTTGAGACAGAGCCTCAAGCTGTCCCCCTGGGTAGAGTGCCGTGGCATTACAGCTCACAGCAACCTCCAACTCCTGGGCTCAAGTGAGTCTCCTGCCTCTGCCTCCCAAGTAGCTGGGACTACAGGCGCCCACCACAACACCCGGCTATTTTTTGGTTGCAGACGTCGTTGTTGTTTGGCGGGTCCGGGCTGGGGATTCGAACCCGCCACCTTAGGTGTACGTGGCTGGCGCCCTAGCTGGTTGAGCTATAGGCGCCGAGCCATGAGCCAAATATTTAAAAGCATCCCTCATGGAAAGCCCTCTCCCTCGGTCAGATGATACAGGCAGGGTCAAGAGTAGGCCTCAGTCTTATTTTCCAGTTATTTCATGTGCTCCCTCTGTAGAACTCTATGCTTTTCACACAGAGACCAGCCTCAGTGCTGGCTCCATGATAGCAGCTTGGTCAGGGATGTGTGTGCTGGCATCAAGCCCCCATCCTCCTGGCACCTCTCACAACCTGCACAAATCTGTACAGACTCCTCTCACAGCGTGGGGATGCTCCAGTGAAGCCTGTCCTGGCCCTATTCCCTGACTTTAACCTTAGGGACAAAGCTGTGTTGAGATCACCTGGACGCACACTTGCCTGCTTCGTTCTCCTCCACACTGAGTTCATCTTCCTGCCCAGGAGAGGCCATTTCTGTGCCCTAGCCTTTTTCAGTGTCTTAGACTTCCAGCCTGGTATTTGGAAGTCTCCCCCAGCTTAAGGGTAGAGTTGCTACCCTTAGGGTGAATCAACCCAACCCTGTCTGTTGGAGGGGCCTGTGGGCTGCCTCCATGGATATGTCAGCGTCCCCATAGATGACAGGGAACTGGCTTTGAAGCCTTGCAGCCTGGATCTTTTTCTTTTTTTTTTTGAGACAGGGTCTCACTATGTCACCCTTGGTAGAGTGCCGTGGCATCACAGCTCACAGCAACCTCCAACTCTTGGGCTTAAGCGATTCTCATGCCTTAGCCTCCCAAGTAGCTGGGATTACAGGCACCCACCACAATGCTCGGCTATTATTTTTGTTGCAGTTGTCATTGTTACTTAGCTGGCCTGGGCCACAATCGAACCCGCCAGCCTCAGTGCATGTGGCCAGTGCCGTAACTACTGTGCTGTGAGCACCAAGCCAGCAACCTGGATCTTTGAAGCCATGTTTTCTGGGGTTCCTTCTGGTTCCTGCACGAGGCCAGCTCCTGTGCTGGTTCTGTGGGACCCTGGTTGGTTAGTTATCAGCCATCCATAGAGTGGTTGAAGAGGGAGTGGTTACAGCTTCTCTTAGTCTCCTTGGTGTGGCTGGACCCCAAAGGCTTCACATATGCTCCAACCATGGGATTCTGGCCACAAGGACTTGCTTGGTTGATCTGGGATCAGAGCTGTGGCCCCAGTCCGCAGTGAGGGGACAGAATTAGAATCAGTATCAAAACTAGAGGTGTTGTGTTCACCCATCATAGAGTCTGTGTCTTGGAGAAGTATTACTCTCTGTAAGGAATTCCATGCTTTTCCTTATGATTAAGATGAATCTCTTTTGGTGGCACCTGTAGCTCAGTTGGTAGGGCGCTGGTCACATACACCAAGGCTGCTGGGTTTGAACCTGGCCCGGGCTTGCTAAACAATGACAACTACAACAAAAAAATAGCCAGGTATTGTGATGAGTGCCTGTATCCCCAGCTACCTGGGAGGCTGAGGCAAAAGAATCACTTAAGCCCAAGAGTTTGAGGTTGCTGTGAGCTGTGATGCCACAGCACTCTACCCACGGCCACAGCTTGAGACTCTATCTCAAAAAAAAATGTGCTTCTCTTTGATTTGGCTTGGTGCCTGTGGCTCAGGGGCTAGGGCGCCAGCCACATACACAGGAGCTGGCGGGTTCGAATCCAGCCTGGGCCTGCCAAACAAGGATAATTGCAATAAAAAATAGCTGGGCGTTGTGTGGATTGCCTGTAGTCCCATCTACTTGGGAGTCTGAGGCAAGAGAATTGCTTAAGCACAGGAGTTTGAGGTTGCTGTGAGCTATGTCACAACATCACAGCACTCTACTGAGGGTGACATAGTTGACACTCTATCTCCAAAAAAAAACCCTCTTTCATCAGTAATAGGGGGAAAATTAACTTCATAACTGACCATATTTCCCTTTTCACCTTGGCTGCTGGGAAGCTCAATCATATTTAATGTTACTGAGAGCCTAAGGCATGGTTAGCCTCAGTCATCTGGACATCCTACCTGCCTCATGTTTGGCTGGTTTTAACTTCAGTGACCAGGGGGCCCCACAACACTATAGACATCAGTCCCTTGGTCTGCACCAACCCTAGCATCGCACTCTGTCCAGCAAACCAGCCAGCATCTGCTACATTACTGAGGAAGTGGCAGGTATCTGGGGGGATGTTGGCCCTGCTCCCTTCCTTTTCCCCAACCCTCCCAGGCAGGAGAAATTCCTCTAGCCACAGGCAGCCTGCACTTTCCCGGGCTGTCCAGCAGCAATGGAGATGAAAACTATTAAAAACTGCTTACGTGGCTCAGCGCCTGTGGCTCAAGTGGCTAAGGCGCCAGCCACATACACCTAAGGTGGCAGGTTCGAATCCCCAGCCCGGGCCCGCCAAACAACAATGATGGCTGCAACCAAAAAATGGCCAGGCGTTGTGGCAGGCGCCTGTGGTCCCAGCTACTTGGGCAGCTGAGGCGGGAGACTCGCCTGAGCCCAGGAGTTGGAGGTTGCTGTGAGCGTGATGCCATGGCACTCTACCCAGGGGGATAGCTTGAGGCTCCGTCTCAAAAAACAAAAACAAACAAACAAAAAAAAAAAACTCTTACGCTCCTTCCCCTGGCCTGTGTTCACTGTGCTATGTGAATCAGCAAATATCCTGACAGCGAGCCGCCGTGCACAGCCCCGGATCGCACCCCGGTGGCCGACTGCGGAAGAGGCCTTGCCCTCGCAGCCTCTCCAGAGACCCCAGGCGTCTTGCTCACCGCAGCCCGGCCCGTTGCAGCCGCCCCATCAGGCCACTGCTCGCTCAGGCCCCGGGGCCCCTGGACAGGTAAGCTCCGAGTAGCGACCTGAAGGACCCGAACGTGGGCCTGAGACTGCAGTGGCGTATAGCCGCTAAAGCCAGAGCGTGGGGCTCAGGCGGGTCATATAGAGGGGCCGTGGGCGGCGGGAGTGTTCTGCTGGCCTTGCTCCGACCGCCGCCTGTGGCCCTGAGAGGCCCAGGTGGGAGGAGGACGGCCGCGCACCCGCTGCTCACTAGCCTCACCGCTGGTGGGGCGCTCCCCGCTGCTCTTCCGCGGGGTCTTGTGGGACCGCGAGCTTCGGCGGCGCGTCAGGACTACACTTCCCAGGAGACCGTGCCCACTGCGGGGCGCCTGGGGGTTGTGGTCCGAGGTGAAGCTGGCACGGGTGGGGTGGCGGGCGCAGGGACTACATTTCCCAGCATGCAGCGCGCGGCCGAGGGGGCTGGGGGTTTGGGCCGGGGGTCTGCCGCCCGCGGCCGGGCTGTGTCTGCTGCGACAAGTGCGGGAGGCAGCGGCGGCCTGGGTCGGATTCCGAGCCGGGCGGCGGAGGCGGGCGCGGCGGGCACGGGGGCCGCTGCTCCCGAGGCGATGATGGGCAAAGAGGAGGAGATTGCGCGGATCGCCCGGAGGCTGGACAAGATGGTGACCAAGAAGAGCGCGGTGAGGGGCGCGGGCCGCCAGGACCCCGGGACCCCCGCCCCGTCGAGACCCCGTCGAGTTCGCCGACCCCCATCAGGGCCGGGAGACCACCTGAGGGGCAGGACGAGGCCCCGCCCCAGCAGAGACTCCCGGGATGCGGGGAGACCCCTTTCCTACCCTACACCCACTCCCGCAGAGGCCGCGATCGGGCCTGGACCTGGTCCCGGGAGCCACCGCTCTGGACTCAGACCCCTCCTGCCTGGCTGAGACCCCGCAGACCTGGGCTCTGCACCCTTCCCTGTCCCCTAACTCCAGGCCCCCTGCCTGGTCACTGGACAACTTCCTAGGCCCCGCCCCACCCCCACCTTACAACTCAGCCGTTTCTTTCAGGCCGCCGCCCGGAGCCTTTCCCCATTCCAGCGTGGGCACCCTCATGGGGCCTCCACTACTCCTGCTGAGCCCGGCCAACCCCACCCCCCACCCCACCCGGTCCCCATTCCAGCTCGGAGTCCTCTCCCACTATTGTCTCCCATGCCCTGTGTTGCCTGCAAGAGTTTGGAGTCTGAGATTGGACCCCCTTTTCCCTGGACCTATAATATCTCTCCTGCCTCTTTCTAGCCCTTGTCATACCCCCTTCACAGGCTGGGCAGAGGCCTTTCCTGACTGTGGGGACCGTTTTCTTCTCTATCCCCATCCTCAGGTTTCTCTAATAAATTCTTTCCTTAGTCAGGACTCAGCCAGCAGCTACTGGGATGTGGGTAGATATGTAGAGACCCTAGGGAAAAGATTGCTTGTGTAAGATGTAAAACCTAGTAGCTCAAATGAGCCTGGCCTGGCAGTGTCTGGGCACTGGAGCCTCTGGTCAGCTCTGCTCATTGTGCAGCCTGGGCCTCTGTTGTCCAGCTGCCACAGTGAGCCTTTGGAGGATGCTGCTCATGAGGCCTCCAGGAGAGGCAGGCCGGTGGGGGTCCAATCCCAGTATCATGACCATGGCAACCTGTGCAACCTCTACAACCTCTCACAGAAGCACCCTTAGCAAACGGTACTTGCCTCATGGGGGTGGGGAGATGTCCAGGAGTCATGTGGAGTGCCTGGCTGGCTCAATAAACATGACCTGGGCCCTCCCCCCCAGACTGTGAGGTTCTGGGACAGGGCTGAGTTACATGTCTGCTGGGCCAGCCCAGGGTGGTAAAGGCAGCTGAGTCATGGGTTAATGACAGCTTGTGCCACCACCCCAGGGCTGTGTGACTACAATGGGATTTGGGGGTAGCTTTTTGGGCTGAGCAAGATTGAGTCTAGATTCCTGTTGATCATGGTTGTAGGTTGAGGCCTACACTGGGAAGGGGGCGGGCTCTCATTCATTCATTCATGCTGGAAGTAGCCCCCCTCCATTGTGTTCACACACCTGGGAGACTGGGAGCACAAAGCAGGGGTGTGGGAAGGATCTACGGCTGTTTCCAGAGATGACCAGAGAATGAAGTTGCCTTCTCAAAGGAGACAAAGTACGACAGATAAAAGCCAGAGTTGGAGAGTAAATATGGGTCATGGAACCTGGGAGGTCCTTGAGGGGTGGGCAGACCTGAAGGGAGGTCTGGTGGAAGCACAGCATGGTCAGAATCTCTGCAGGAGAGTGTAGAGGGGAGAGAAGGATTGTAGAGTGAGGAGTTAGATCCAGCAGAGGGTCCTGGGTCGTTCCAGTGCCTGAGGCTCCTTGGGGGCTGTTTGGGAATTTTGATGCCTCTCTGGTTTTGAGGTCAGTGAAAACCATGTTACTTGGTGTGCAGTGCTGTCAGGGAACACTGCCTTTGACTCTGGTGATCTGTCCCCTCTGAGGTCGCCTGAGGGCTGGACTCTGCACAGCCTGAGGGGCAGGGCTTGCCTGGGGAGTTGTCAAGGAGGGGGCTGCAGCCTGGGCAGAGCTGCTACCTGGATTGGGAGTTCATCGGGCAAGTCCCTCCCATGGCTTCTGGGCTGCAGGATATCTGAGTAGCTGGGTCAGCTTATCTGATGGTGTGGGGAAGGACACACACAGGGAAACCCATTAGTATGTTCACGGGCCTGGGGCTTTTGAGAGCAAACTGGGGAGGAGGGTAAGGTGAGATGCATAGCTCAATTTCAGTTTTAGATAGGAGAGACCTTGCTGAGAAGCTTTGAAAGGATGGCAGCATGAGCCCTGAAGATATTGGGGGGGGGGTTGTCTAGGCAGTGGACGGTAGGTGTGAAGATCCTGGGTTGAGTGGCTCTGCACCCATCACTGAGGCTCTGTGCCTAAAGTGAAGGTGTGTCCTGTTTTTTCCTGGTCTCGCTGTGTAATAAGGTCTGGGAGGAAACACAGATCTTGGCAGGGGAGGGAGACCAGGGGGTCTGTTGCAACAGTCTAGGCAAGTGCATGGGGGGCACTTGGGACCCTAGAGGACTGACCAAGAGTGGGGCTGGTATTGGCGGCAGGTACTGGCTGTGGCTGTGCCAGCAGTGGAGGCATGTCCTCAGCACAGGACACTGAGGCTCCTGGTCAGCCTTACCAGCTAATGGGTGGGTCACTTTGCGGAGAGGTTGTCTTACACACAAGGGCATGGATGGACAAGGTGTGAGCAAACCTAGGGCTGCCTTCACCTGTGTGGCTCTCCAAGGCCTGCAATCTGCATGGGAGCTGGCATTTTGGGCCAGTGACCTGATGTTACAGTAAGGTCATTGCTCATGGAGGTCAGGAAGTCATGTGACCTATGACCATTGAGACTGTAGAACTGCTTCCCTTCCCATCCCTTGCTGGGGTGGGAGCAGGAAGGGCCCTTTGCCATGGTGCAAGAACTTGTGGGCAGAACCCTGGGTGCCTCCAGGTGCAGGAATTGTGGCTTTCCTCTGACCCCAGGTGGAGTCTCCAAATTGTCACTGCCTTGTGTCCCTTGCAAGTGGGCAGGAGGCAGTGTTATTGACCACTAAGATCTAAAGTCCTTTTTGAAGGTCCCCCTTCTCCTTCCAGGAGGGAGCCATGGACCTGCTGCGGGAGCTGAAGGCCATGCCTGTCACACTGCATTTGCTCCAGGTAGGTCCCTGCCTGCCCAGGCCTGGGACAGCTCCTGGGGACAGCCCAGGGGACAGCAGTTCTAAGAGCACCTGGCAGGGCTTGTCCACTGCCCCTACCCCCAGTTGTTGGTTGGCACAAATACTTGACCTTGAGGAGAGGGTCCTTGCCTCTCTCTGGTGCCTGATAAAACAGGGAGGGGGTCTGAGAACAGCCTATCCTGTCCTTGATGGGTAAGGCTCCGGGGTTCCAAATGGGGTGGTTCCCACTAGGAGAGGCATCTACCTCCCCTGCCAGTCCCTAGGCCCTGCCCTGTGGGATACACCAAGGGTCTGCTAGGAGAATCTGACTTCTGGGGCAGGCTCCCACTGCCACCCGACCCAGGCCACTTGCCTTGCAGTCCACCCGAGTCGGGATGTCTGTCAACGCCCTGCGGAAGCAGAGCTCGGACGAGGAGGTCATTGCACTGGCCAAGTCCCTCATCAAGTCCTGGAAGAAGCTCCTGGGTGCGGGCCTGACAGTGCTGACTGTGCGCTGGGGCAAGGGGCCCCTGGAAAGAGTTGGCCTCTTGTTGGTCAGCACAATGTAGGGTGCTGGTGGTGCTGACGCTGAGCTGGGCCACCTGGGAGTGGGGTGGTGGCAACCTGGGCCAGGAAGCACCTACCTCGGGCTGAGAGGTCAGCTGTTCATCAGTGTCAGCTGAGAGGAGTTGCTTTGGGGGCGTGACTGGTGGGGCAGTGTGGATGGTGGGAAGGGGGCTCCATGTAGAACAGGGAGAGAAGAGAGTGGAGGCCAGGACCTGAGCTGGGCAGGGCACCAGGAGCCCTAGAGGAGGAGGGGGTAGGGCCAGGGTACCCCAGGAAGACAGGAGAAGGCAGAGGGAGGAGGCAGAGCCACTGAAGCCACTCAGAACAAAGGGGCAGCCCCTGGCTAAGGAAGGACTGAGCTAGACTAAAGGCAGTCTCTTCCTTAGCACAGTGGCTAACTAGGGTGACAGAGGCTCCTACCTGAGACAGGAAACCAGCCCCTCCTCTGGACTCTAGGAGAGAGGCCTCCCCCCATCTTCTCCCAAACTCTGTCCACACCCTTGTGAAACAGAGACACATGTCCTTGGCCAAAAGCATGTCCTGGTCACCAGTGCAGGCTGCAGGTCCTGAGCCTGGCTCCACCTAAGGTTGGGGTTTAGGAATAGCCTTGTGAGGGAAGTGCTTGGTCTGTCCAGTCAGGATGGGCAGGAAGGTGGACCCCAATGAGGCCCCAGAGGATCATGGGGAGGCACCTCCCGGCTTGCAGAGGCTGATGAAGGGTCACTAGGCAGAGAGGGCTTCAGTGGGAAGGCTTGGTGGGCTCTTGGCCCTGGCTCTGTCTAGCTGTGTAGCATGCCAGGGCCAGGGCCAGTAGTCTAGCAGAGGTTGCCTGGTGGTCATCTGCCCCTCCCTCCTGATCAGCCCATCTCCTTTTTCTTGGGCAACTGTAGATGCTTCAGATGCCAAAACCAGGGAGCGGGGGAGGGGCATGCCTTTGCCCACATCGTCCTCCAAGGATGCCTCAGAGGCCGTGGATCCCAGGTAGCACACCTGGGAAGCAGGTGCACACACTCCTGCTTCCTAGCCTTAGTTTCCTCAGCAGGGACAGGGTGCTCATCTCTACATGCCTGGGCACTGTGTTGGGGGAGGGGCTCTCTAGGGGCTACACACAAGGTTGATGAGCCCTATGTTGGACACTGCATCTCATGCTGAGGCTCTCCTGCCCTGACTGTCTGAGACACGTGGATGTGTTCACCTGGTTGTCAATGAGCCACTTTGATCCCTCCCTACAGAGAGCATGCATGCCCTGAGTGGACTTGTAGGAGCTCCCTGCCCACTTCCCCTGAGGCTCTGTCCTGGGATTGGTTCTCAGTAGCCTGCTCTGGCTGTCTCCTCAGCCTCACTTGATGGGAGACCCTCTTACCTGCAAAGTCTCACCCAGAACCGAAGGTGCCCAGCTCCCTACTGGCTGATGTGCACTGGTGTGGACACTGCTGACCAGAAGTACAGTTAGGGCTTTGTTGCCATGCAGGCCAGGGGTGTTCACAGTGACAGGCTGTGGCCAAGAGACTGCTCTGCCCTTGACCAGAGGGGGTGGCATTGGCTGGGGCACTGAGTGGGACAAACTGAGTTCTGGGATCATGGCTGGTAGTGGACAACAGCTTGTCTGCACGCCTGTTCCAGTTGAGTCTCCTTCAGGAAGCCACCTGCCTCTGCTCATTCCCATGAGAGTGCCAAAGCCTGGGCCCAGCCTGAGAGAGGGTGTCCTTGTCCCATTTTATGTGTTCTAAGTAGGGTTACATGTGACAGTAGAATCTGGCCTTGGGAGATCTCCTCCCTGTCTTCTTGTAGGTTTCTACCTGTTTCTGAGCTAGCAGCAGCTATGGCTGCAATTAGCAGAGAGGTGTCTGTAGGAGGTCTGAGTTCTGGGCTTCCCAGAGACTGTGCACACCAAGAGATGGCAGGAGCTACGTGGCCTGTTCTGACTAGCTGGCAATGCTGCTGAGGTGTTGATTGCTGGGAAAAGATCTAGCATCCTATTCCTGTTTGAAAAGTACACCCTGACCCACTGGGGACCTTAAGTTCCCTCCCATGGCCAGTGGGCTTGCTGGCAAGGATGGAGACAGGCTCTCAGGCTGCAGTAGGGCTCTATCAGGGGAGCAAACAGGGTTTGGAGATGTGGATTGTGCCATATCTTCTCCTTTCCTGGGACCAGTGTCATACTAGGGTGCATATCCTTAGTCTGAACCCATCTGGCCCTGCTTCTCTCCAGCCGCAAAAGGTCAGAGATGCCCAGGATGCCGTCCACCCCGAGGATCACTACGTTTCCTCCAGTGCCGGTCACTTGTGATGCTGTGCGTAACAAGTGCCGTGAGATGCTGAGTGCTGCCCTGCAGACAGACCGTGAGTGCCCAGCAGGACCTGACTCCTGACTCTATGCAGACTCACAGGGTGGCCCAGGCCCTGCCTACTCACATAGATTGCTCTCCTCCCCCAGCCCATTATCATCGTGAACCTGGGAGGGGGTGGGGGGGCCTTGGTGATATCAGAGTGCCTGGATTGTGGGCAGAGTCCCCTAGAGACACAGGTGTCCCCTCTAGCTGCCAGGGTGTTGTATAGGCAGTGGGAGCAGCAGGTGGAAAAGCCAGTGGGCGTTTTGTCAGGCCTCCCTCTTGCAGATGACCATGTGGCCATTGGTGCGGACCTTGAGCGTTTGTCTGCGCAGATCGAGGAATATATCCTTTGTGCAGGGGGTTTGTGGGCCAAGGGTGTCTGGCAGAGTCAGAAGGCCACAGGACCTGCCACCTGTGGCCACCAGGGCTCCCCCTGGTGGCTGCTAGATGACACTTACAGGCTGTCCAATGCCCTGTCTGGGTCGTCACTTGCCTGGGCAATTGGGCACCCTCGCCCCAGGAGGGGTCCCTGGACCGACTGAGGGGCTAATTCTGTCTACTATCCCTGGGGCCTATCCTTGTGCTATCCCCTATCCCTACTATCCCTGTGCTATCCCTGGGGCCTCGAACCTGATGCTTCATCTCAGCCAGGAAGGGGTCTGGGGGAGACCTAGCCCTGCAGCCCCTCAACTCACCAGCAGGACTGGGGGATAGACTGACTCCTATGTAACCAGGCAGAGCCTCCCAACACCCCCAGCTCCTGATGCAGTGTGGTGGGTGGTGGCTAGAAGTGGCGATCTTGGCCTCAGAGGGGTCCTTAAATGCCTGCACGCATCTTCCGGGACGTTGGGAACACGGATATGAAGTACAAGAACCGCGTGCGGAGCCGCATCTCCAACCTGAAGGATGCCAAGAACCCTGACCTGCGCCGGAATGTGCTGTGTGGCGCCATCACACCCCAGCAGATTGCGGTGATGACATCAGAGGTGAGTCTGCCCCAGGGTGGGGGGGCTGGGGCTGTCCTGTGGAGTGTGGGCTAAGCAGCCAGCCCTTGCCCCAGGAGATGGCCAGTGATGAGCTGAAGGAGATCCGCAAGGCCATGACCAAGGAGGCCATCCGTGAGCACCAGATGGCCCGCACAGGCGGCACGCAGACCGACCTGTTCACCTGCAGCAAGTGCAGGAAGAAGAATTGCACTTACACACAGGTGAGTGGCTGCCGGGCACCCCTAGAGCTTATTCCTCTCCTCACCTCTGCTGGGTGGCAGGTCCACCCCTCACGTCTTGTGTGGCAGCAAGTTTGTGGTCCTAGCTTGGGTTTCTCCCTGAACCTCTTGGGCTTTGGTGAGGCCAGGGAGTGACATCACCTTCAGGGACCACTCCCCTTCCCCAGGACGCTCAGCCCCTGCAGTGTCTCTGGTGGTCAGTCCCACTTGTTATGGGCTGCTGAAGTGGAGGACTAGGTCTGGGCTGGTATAGGGGGTCATGAGGAGTGTGGGTGCTGGTGAGAGGGTGGTGTAATCACAGGAACCTCAGACTGTGGCATGAAGGATGATGCTGAGATGCTTGGGGGAGACTGTGTGGGCCCCATGACATGCTGGGGGGCCTGGGAAGAGGAGTTTGAGGTGGCCACAGTGCTTGGTAGACAGCTTGTGGGGGGGCGATCTCCCAGTGGGCTGTGCAGGGTCTGAGTCTGTACGAGGTTTGGCTCGCTCTCACCCCCAACTGCTGGTCAGAACTGGCCCTGTTTGTGGGGTAAAGCTCACCCTCTTGCCTTCCAGAAGGCAGCTGTACCACTGGGAATCCTTGCTAGTCCCTCCACCACAGGGCCCTTCCTACCAGGGATCCTTCTGCCCTTAGCTGAGTCTGGGCCCTGTTGGGCTCAGGCCCATGTGAGGTGCCTTAGGCCCACACAAATGCCTGTGCCATGGCAGACCACCACCTCCCTCCCTGAGAGGTTGGGGCCACTGGGTAGCCTCAGGTCAGGTCACCCACCCATGGGGGTCTAGGGATGGCAAGACCAACACAGCCCAGGTCAGGGAATGCCCTTCTCTGCAGAGAGCCTAGTGGTGACCCCAGGCTTACCCAGCCCTCCCCCAGGTGCAGACCCGCAGCTCTGATGAGCCAATGACCACCTTTGTTGTCTGCAATGAGTGTGGCAACCGCTGGAAGGTAGGTGGCAAGCCCATGTGGCAAGAGGAGGGCTCCTGGCCCTCCTCTTGGGAGGTGTGTCTTAGTTGGCAGGGGCTGCACTCTGGACGAGTGACAGCTGTGCCCAGCAGGCCTCCTGGAGTCTCAGGGGTGGTTGGTGGAGACCCCAGCCGTCTGGGCCTTTTCTGCCTCCCACCCAGCTGTCACTTACCCACTTCTTGCAGTTCTGCTGAGCCCTCTTGCAGATGTCCTGCAGCCCCGGGCCGTGGCCAGCCCTCTTGTCCTCGATGGACACAGCCTCCTTGGAGGCCCCTGAAGGCAGCCCACCCTGCCCCACCCTGCCTGCCTGGAGTGCACCTTTCTGCTTGTTTCCCACATTAAATGTCTGTTTTTGCCATCTTGCTGTCCTTGGCCCATGTCCTTTCTACCTCCTGCTGCTACTGGACAACACTCCTTCCTGGGGTCAGGTGATGCCTGGGCTTGGGCCTGGTCAGTCTGCCCTGGAGAAAGCTTGGCGGACCTCAGAGGGATCACCTCTGCCATGTGGCCAGAGGGCCTGGGTGATTTGCCTGTGCCTGTACACAGAGACAGGGAGGACTTGTGTGCACATGGGGCAGCCGGGGACCCCACATGGTGTTAAGCTACCCCACTGCTTCCCCTTCTTGGGCATGGGCAGCTTAGGGCCTAGGATGGCCTGTCCTATGTCCTGCCTCTGTTCGTGGGGTTTACTGTGCAGAATAGGTGTCTTGGGACCTTGAGCTAAGTCCAGCTTCCAATCACTTGACTTCCCAGAAATTTGAGATAATGGAGTGGGGAGTACATGTCTGCACAGTGAAGGTGGTGGTATGTTTCACACCAAGGGGCTTTCTGTTGGCCTGCCTCTGGAGGACACCCCTGATACCTCCTGGGGACCTTGGTAGGAATCCACCAAGCCTTCACGAGGTGCTGTGGCCACACCAGTCTCACCCTACATTAAGCTCAGGCACCGAGGCCACTGTTCTGAGGAGTCTGGTTGGAGTGTGGGGGTGGGCAGAGTGTGTGGTACTTTGCCTCTTCTCCAAGTGGGCACTAGAACCCATGTCCCTGTGCCAAGGCTGAATCTGGAACAATTCCTCACTCTCAAATCTCCCCACAAACATGGAATAGAGGAGAGACTTTTGCTTTAAAAATATCTTCAAGGCTCAGCACCCATAGCTCAGTGGTTACGGTGCTGGCCACATGCACCAGGGCTGGTGGGTTCAAACCTGGCCCGGGCCTGCTAAACAACATGACAACCTCAACAAAAAAATAGCCGGCATCTGTATTCCCAGCTATTTGGGAGGCTGAGGCAAGAGAAACACTTAAGCCCAGAAGTTTGTAGTTGCTGTTGTGAGCTTTGACACCACAGCACTCTGCCAAGGGCCACATAGTGAGAATCTGTCTCAAAAAACAAACAACAAAAAAAAAACAATTCAATAATAAGACATCCTATTTTAAGAGAGGATGGGGAAATGAGAGGAGGAAGATAAATATGAAAAAATTATTTTCTTTTTTTTGGCTGAAACACAGTAAGGACATATTTTCAGGTTTAAAGTCCATGGACATATAAAATACTTGTAGAAATCGGGTCCTGTCACCTTGAGCCTGATTTTGAGGTTTCACATCTGGTTCTGAAGTTCTGGGTCTGACTCTGGGGTGCAGAAGGCTCATGTTACAAAACTGGGTAACGTGGAGGTCCTGCTCCCCACCAAAGAAAGGCAAAATCTTGGCTGCTAGCTGTGTGGGACAGAGGTGCCTATGAGGCTTACAGGTCGAGGCTTCCCGTGAAGCCCCTCCCAACATGCAGGGCACTGAGCAGCCTTGAGGGGCTGCTGGCTGCCCTGCACCTAGAGCTCCTGCCGGGCTGAGGGCAGAGCCAGGAGATGAAGCCTTTCCCTCTGGGGCTGGGACTGCCCCTTGGTGTGCCTTAACATCTCCACTGGCACGCACATGTGGAGTAGCCCAGAGTCTGCCCCTAAGGGGCCTAGTGTCTGTCACTGGGGCCACCTAGGACTCAGAAGAAGACTGTGAGGCTCCCCGGAGCAGCAGGGCACGGTAGGTGGGAGAGCTGAGGAAGCGAGGGTAGGAATCCCGGTGCATGAGTGTGTAGATCTGCAGCTGCGCGTCATCAAACGTGTGCGCAGAAGGCTCCTGCATCTTCTTGTTGATGCCCTCCCGCACGCGGGAGTCCAAGCTCACCTGCAGGAAGCAGCATCCAGGTCAGGGACCTGAAGGTGCCCCCTACAGTCCCCAACAGGCCACCCCCCATGCCTGTGCTGGGGGTTGGCAAACCTCCTTGGGGGACAGGATGGACACGTAGTCCTCGTAGATGAGTCGCGCCTTCTCATCCACCACATGCTGGTTGGCCTCGGCTTTCAGGTCCTCGCATGCCAGCCAGAAGAGCATGTTTTCCTCACTGTACTCTGTGCGCAGGAAGGCCCGGAACACACTGCGCCCTGCTGGACTGTGCATCAGCTTGTCGAAGGACTGCGCCCAGCTCTGCACCTCTTCATGGCTTGGTGTGGCACTGCAGGAGGACATAAGTTTGGGCCCAAGGCCCCCCAGTCTGAGCCCACCCACCATGCACCCTCTGGCCAGTTGGACTTACCACACTTCACAGCCGGGGAGGGGCTGCAACTTGCTCTCCCTGGAGGCCTGCCACACTCGCCGCCGCTCTTCATTCCTAATGGCAGAGAGAAGGTGGCACTGCCTTCGACACACCATGGGCCCCCTCAGCACATGGGCAGACACAAGACACAGGGTACCTGGCACGCATGTAACCTGCCGTGGGGAGGAGCAGCTGCAAGCACTGGCTCCCTTAGCACCCTCCTAGAGCAGTGTCCATGCTTAGTGCTGGCCTCTCTCCTCCTGCTCCCCAAGGGTCCAGGTTGCTGTCCCTGCCACAGTGCTCAGGCCACAACCTCTGCCCCTCCTTCCCAGTTTGACCTAGTATTCCTATAATCTGTTGCCTTCCAGGACCCTTTGGGCTCCCGGTGTACCCTCCCCATTCCCTGTTAGGCAAGACCCCACTGTCAGCCTGCCCTCAACCCCCCTACCTCTTTCTTGCCCATGCATCCATGTTGCAGTCTGACATGTTAGCAGTGTGTCGTCAGCCCCCGGCCCACCTGTTCTTCCCTGCCTCAGTGCCCAGCACTCCTCCATTGCTAGGCCAAAGCCATACTTTAGGGCTCCTCTCAGCAGTGGCCCCAGGGCCCCCAGACCCCAAACCTCCAAGCTCTCAGCAATAGTCCCAACTATTCATGCCCCCTCCTCCATATCTTGCCTGGGCTCAGGCCTCAATTGCTCACTGGGCAGGACCCACTTAGGGTCCCCAACAGCTGTTCCCTCAACAGCCAAGGGCCTGAAACCTGAATAGTGCCAAGCTTCTGCAAGGCACGAAAATGTCCACCAGCTTCCCTTTACTCCTAGAAAATCCTTTTACTACCTGGGAGCCCTACTCCTGCCCTCATGGATACCCAGAGACTCCAGTGCTCTTCTCTGCTCCCAGCAGGCTACCAGGGAAGCTCTTCCCCACTGCCTAGGCCAGCTGCTCTCTCATTCTGGTCTCTGATCAATATGTAGGGTCTGTGCCCACCTTGTTCCCCTGTAGGGCCCAGGGACCATCCTGGTCTTGCCCAGGGCACCATTGTAAGTGTGTTCTGAGCATATGGCTGCACAAGTGCAGGCAGCACCCAGACACATCCTTGGCACACCAGGTGCAAGAGCAACACACAAGCCTCCGAGAGGGTTAGACATTGACCACTGGTCACGAGGACCCAAAAGCCCCCAGACAGGAGGGTGCTTCAAGGTGGCAGGGACATCCTGCCTTCAGGGTCTGCACAGTCCCGCCCCCCCACCCTCCCCCACATACCAGGAGCAGCTGCAGCAGCAGCACCAGCACAGGCAGCAGGGGTTGCGGCCAGGGGCCACCTGGGGGGCCACATCATGGCTAGTCATTGAGGGGGGCCGGTCTGCCTCCTCGGGCCCTGTGTGCTGGGGGATGACAGAGCACCTGAGCCTCTAGCCAAGGCCTATCCGACCACATTCCTCTCCCCTACCATATTCCCAGCAGAGGGCTCTTCTGACCTCTCAGCCTTCAAGGGTCTCCCAGCTTGGTGTGGCCCCTCACTTGCCCGCCCCATCTCTCCAGGGACCAGAGGCGGGGGGCATGACATACCTGTTTCTCAGCCTCATGCGGGGTGGGCATGGGTGGGCAGAGGAGGTTGCCCAGGCTCCGTGGTGCCAGCTCCTGGACCCTCACCACAGCCTGGGGGTCTGGGAAAAGGGCCCAAGGTTCTGACTGAGAACCTTTGACTCTAGCCCCCACCTGTCCCCTGGGAGGGGTCTCAAGAGGGTATCTCCTCCTTCTTCCTCCTCAGAGCCCCGGAGGGGTCTGCTCCTGCCTACCCCACCTAGACCCAGCTCTGCCCAGCCTCTGACCCCCACCAGGGCTGTTAGGGGAATGGAGTCAGGGAGGAGGTGGCTGCAGCAGCTTCTGGCCCCTCCTCCTCCCATGCCAAGCCCCAGATGAGGCTCCCCATAGGGGTTTCTGGGACACCCCCCATCTGCCTAGTCCCTGGGAAGCCGGAAGCCTGGGTTCCTCTTTCTTGGCTTCCGGGTCTTGACCCCTCCCAAAGGGGCTGGTGCATGGGGGTGGCAGTCAGATGTCCTCCTGGGTGTTTCTGCCCAGACTCTGGGTTAGGAAGGTGGGTACAGCTGTTTCCCACCAAGAGTCCAGGTCTGAGCGTGGGCCACAGCAGACTCTGACCTATTCATCTTGGACTCAGCCAGGGGCAGCAGGCTAGGCCTGGAGCATTACATTAGGTTAGGCCTGGAACACTGAGGAATTCAGGGAGAATCAGGACTTCCTGAGGGTGTGAGGGACCTGTGCCCCCAGGGAAGACAGTTCTTTGCTTGTGGAGCTTCCTTAGCCCCCTGCTATCACCCAGGGTTTCCTGCCCTCTCTGCCCACTGCCTCCAGGCTGTGCAAGGCCCCAGCGCACAGTGCACCAGCAGAGGAAGAGGCGAGTGCCCTCGCCTTGCTCCCCTGTCACCTGCTCTGAGGTGGTGCATGTCCTTCCCAGCATTTGGCTACACCTTCTGCAGTGGAGGTGCACCACTTAAGCCTACCACAGCCCAGGTAGGCCTTCTTGTGGGCACATCTACCACCCTTTTCTCTCTCTCTTTTTTGAGACAGAATCTCACTATGTCACCCTTGGTAGAGTGTTGTGGCGTCACAGCTCACAGCAACCTCAAACTCTTGGGTTTAAGTGATTCTCTTGCCTCAGCCTCCCAAGTAGCTGAGGCTATAGGCGCCTGCCACAATGCCCAGCTACTTTTTTGTTGTAGTTGTCATTGTTGTTTAGCAGGCCCAGGCCAGGTTCAAACCAGCCAGCCTCAGTGTATGTGAGCCCCACCACCCTTTTCAGCAGCCAGAGACTTGTGACCTAGTTCTACTTCATTTTCTCATTTAATCTTCCTGTTCCCCACCAAACCACTCCTGGCTTGTAGTTTTGGATACTTAGGGCACTCACTGCCCCTGGGGTCTGGGCATGCAGAGGCCACTGCCCTGACCCAAATCTGGGGGCCAGTACAGTGTTTCCTGGGGCCTTGGACCCTCATAACCTGCCCAACTTTCTCTGAGATCTGTGGGTCTCACAGGTTCCCAGCAAGAAGATGGGGAGACAGAAAGTAGCCCTGAGGCTGGGCTTTTCTTTAGGGGTTAAGTTTTTAGGGAAAGGAGGGGGTGTGCCAGCCTGAGGTCTGGTGGGGGTTGGGCTGTGACTCCCCAGGCAGTGGCTTTCTTGTCTTCGCCTCCTCTGGGGATTCACACTCTGGTGCTTTGGAGTCTGACCCTCCTGGGCAGCTATCTCCAGCTAGTCTCTCAACAAAGGAGAGGACATGCCCAGGGGGTTGGGGCCAAATGTCCAGGGTTGTGTGCTGGGGGCCAAATTTGGTGCCTACTGAGGGAGCTAGCCCCTTTTTTCTAGTTGCAGGCCCTGGACCTGGCTCCCTGCACCCTTCTCAGGTCAGTTGGGGCCACCCATATCCCCAGACTACCCAAGGGTGCCCTGGGCCATCCTTCTTCTCTCCTGGAGATACAGAGTCTAACTAGGGTCCTCCTACTCTTATCTGGTACTAGGGGACTCCTTCCCCTTCTCCAGCCCCCCAGGATTTGGTCCCCAAGTCTGGGAGGGGAGTGGCCAGACCAGCAGCAAGTCTTGTCTCTGGGGACAGAGGCTCCCTGGAGTGGCTGCTGCTCTGCTCCACAGAAGGAAAAAGAACGTCCCCAAGCCTGGCCAGTCCAAAAAAAGAATAAGAAAATGTGACAATCTCAGAAAAAAATGTCATAACCTTTGGGAGGGGGTTGACAGAGGGGCTCCACTCCCAGTCCTTCTCTGCCACCAGCGTCTTTCCTGTATGCTGCACTCCCTGTCTGGCTGGTGGAGGAGCTCTAGCCTGGCCCCTCCAAGGTAGTCCAGCCCGCCGTAGCCCTGCGACTAGCGCCCAAGCCCACCTCTGAAATGGTAGTGGCGACCCCCACCTCGCTCCTCTCCCTGCTGGGGGGCTTTCAGTCTGGAGAAGTCTGTTTCCTTGTAGGGAGACCCTCCCTCCAGCCTCTGACGCCCCCACCCCGACCTCATGAACTCGCCATGGCGCCCCACTCACCAGCGACCCAAAGGCAGGGTGGGGGCGGGAGGGGACCAGTTAGGTCTGGGCCCCACCCTGGCGGCCGAAGGGGCGTGCACTGCAGTGGCAGGGACTCAAGTCAGACGGCAGGAGATACCCCTGCGGCGTCCCGGAGAGAGGCTGGCGCCGGGGATCCCCGATCGGCTGGAGCCAGGGGTTGCAGCGCCTCCCCTACAGCTCGCAGGGCCAAGTGGCTGCCCGATCCAACCGGGTGGAGGCGGGGGATGACAGAGTGTCCTGCCCCAGCCCCTCCCCACCAGGCTGGGGGAGAAGACGCAGAAACCTGGGGTTCTTCCGGGCCCCCACCTTTGAGCAATCACTTCCCCAGGCTCTAAGCTGCAGAAAAAGGGGAACCGGCTGCAACACCCCCTCCCCCACGCGCGGGGGGCGGGCTACAGTCCCACTGCGGCCCAGAGTCCACGTGGACCCCGCCGCGGGAGTCCTTGGGGTGAGGACCCCAGGCACCAGCTCCCGAGGCTCCCGCGACTTGGGGCCGGGAGGGGCCGGCCCGCGCGCTCTGAAGTCCGGCCCGGCCGTCGGGGAGGGGGCGCGGGGGCACAGTGCGCAGGCGCCTGGTCCGCACTTCCCCAAAGCTAGCGGCCGGGACTTCCTCGCGCCGGGTGGCGCCGGGCCCGCCCTACCCGCCGCGCCCCGCTCCGCCCCTCGCTGTGCCGGCTTTGCGCCCACCCGCCCCGCCCCGCGCGGCGCATTGGCCCCCACGGTCGCTGTGTTTGCTGCACCGTGGAGAGGTGCTGACGGTGGAGCCTCTGGTACCTGGGCGGCCAGAGCTGGTACAGTAGTAAATGGGCTGTAGCCGTGACCCCCCGCTCTGCTGTGCCATTCTTGGGGGGCGTCTCGTGGAGACGCGAGAGCTGGGCCCTTTTGCTCTTTGTCCTGCTTGGGTAAGAAGAGGCTACTGGAACGGACTGACCATCCTGAGCCTCGGAAAACCTGGTTAAGAGGCTCGTGTCGTGGAGACTTATCAAGGAAGGGAGATCCCCGTGCTGGGGTGCTGGTGGACGTGCGGGCTTTTGCAACCGAAGCCACATCGAATGTCTCCTGTGGGGCCTGAGTCCTTGCTGACTCCTCCAGTTGCCTCAAGATGTCCTAAATTTTAAAGCCACGGGGTCTCCTTTTGCTCTGTCCTCTTGTTCAACTCTCATCCTTTAAGTTCCTCATCCCTGCATGCTTTGGTTCAGGGTCAGAGTGGCCCTGACCCTGCTCTGGAAATGGTCTGCGGAGAGTGCCTGCAGCCCCCCAGCCAGGCTGTGTGCACAGGCTCCTAGCGTCATGGTCCTGCTCCTAAAATGCCTTCCACTTGTACAAGTCGTTGCACAGAACTCTGAGAGATGCAAAGGAAGTGATTTCACTAGTGCTCTTCATTTATTTGGCAAGTGTCTGGGTATCTCTGTGTGCCAAGTGGTGGCACTCAGCCGTTAGCAAAACAAAGCAACCTGGGGCTGCCTGGGGGGTGAGGGTAGGGCTGGTGTGGGAAGCAGGCAAGAAAGGACTGGGAGAGAGCTGGGGAGGGGGCTTCATCCCCAGGGGGACCTTGTTGAGTAAACAACAGAGGGGGAGGGTCCGGAGAAGGAGGTCAGCAATGAAAGGGACCCTGGACAGGCTGCTCTGAGCCCAGGGTCTGGCTCACTTGACCATAGAACCCTCTAGCTGCCATGTTGGCAGGGCAGGAGTAAGGAATTCTGGCTGGACAGGTGGTGGGCTGCCTATATAGCCCAGATAACAATCCTGAGAAGTGGGCATAGGTGATGACAGCAAGGCTCAGCAAAGGTGTGCAAGGGCTTGGTGCCTGTGGCTCAAGTGGCTAAGGTGCCAGCCACATACAGCTAAGGTGGTGGGTTTGAATTCAGCCCGGGCCGCCAAACAACAAATAATAGCTGGGCATTGTGGCGGGCGCCTGTGGTCCCAGCTACTTGGGAAGCTGAGGCAGGAGACTTGCTTGAGCCCAGGAGTTGGAGGTTGCTGTGAGCTGTGATGCCACGGCACTCTACCCAGGGGGACGGCTTGAGGCTCTGTCTCAAAAAAAAAAAAAAAAGGTGTGCAAGCACCTGGGTAAGGCCACAGAACTTAGCTGACCCTGCAGTGCTTGATGTGGTATCTCTATAAGGGGAAGTGCAGGTGTGGGCAGTAGGCAATGGCCAGCTCCTTCCCTCCCCCCTTAGGTCACTCTGTGTCCCCCAAATTTGTGGGAGGAACCCAGGTGAGCTGAGCAGTTAATGGTAGAGATGGGAGTTGAACCTGGGACACTCTGCCCCCTTATAGGGGCAGTATATAGGGTCTTGGCTCACGTACTTTTTTCCTTCCAGGCCCTGCAGACACATACTAGGCCACCTTCCCTAGCCTCCTGTGCGGACCCAGAAGCCCTCCCTGGTGTGAGAACCAAAAGACCCCAGGTGCCAGCTGGACCCTCAGTGAAGTCACTTGTTTTGTTGGCCTTAGGAGGGTGCTTGCCTGATAGAAGCAACCCCTGCCCTTATGGAGCACTCACTGTGGGGGGCAAAGTGCCAAGTGAGGCCCTCATTTTAAAGATGAAGTGGAGGATCAAAAAATGAAGAAATAATATACGATTTTACTCAAAAGATGAAATCATCTTAGGCACACAGTCAATCCCTAAGAGACAGAACCCTGTGGTCCAGACTTTAGAGGCCAGCCCAGAGGACACCTGTACTGGCTGTCATCCCATGCCCCACATCAGGGTCTGAGAAACTGCCACGCCTGTCTATATGCCCCTCCTCCAGTCCCCCTTCTCCTGGCCACCTTTCTGTTTCGCCTTCTCTGCCTGAACACTCCCCACCCCCATCTGTCTCCCTGCCCCTAGGCTTGGATCAAGGCCAAGGCAGGAAGGGTGAAGGGTCAGGTGCAGGGGAAGGGCTGGCCATGGGGACAGAGGGCACAGGTTCCAATCCTGTGACTAGGGTCAGGCAGTGACAGTAACTGCCACTGAGGAAGATCCATCTGGGTCCCAGCCCTGATCTCTGCCCCTCCTTCCAGACCTGTTCTGTGTACCAGGTAGACAGCAGGAATCCCCTGGCATGGGGACAGGTTTATCTGAGTCCCTGCAATTAGCTCCCTCTTCTAGGCAGCCCACTGGGCAAGGGCTGGGAGGAAAAGCAAGAGATGGCCAAGGTAAATTCTAGGTTTTTTTTTTTTTTAAGATAGAGTCTCACTTGGTCACCCTTGGTAGAGTGCCATGGCATCTTAGCTCACAGCAACCTCAAATTCTTGGGTTCAAGTGATCCTGTTGCCTTAGCCTCCCAAGTAGCTGGGACTACAGGTACTTGCCACAATGCCCGGCTATTTTTTGGAGACAGAGGTTTCACTCTGACTCAGGCTGGCCTTGAGCCTGTGAACTCAGACAATCCACCTGCCTCGTCTTCCCAAGTGCTGGAATTACAGGCAAGTCCTAGGTTCTGCAAAGACCCCATTCAGGGGACACAAATAAGATCTGCCCAGAAACCTGGGGGCTTTTCAGAGTCCAGGGGTTTGTAAGTTGTGTGTTTGTCAGAATGGGACAGGGGTGATTTTCTTTCCACATTCTGTGTGTGGGAGACGCCAGAGGCTATTCAGAATGGAAAGGAAGACCAGAGAGTGGGTTTTCTGTCTTGGGCAGCAGGACTCCCAGAGAGGGGCTCCCTTCCCGTTTCCTGGTCCTCTGAGTACTGATGGCTTTAGCCTTGTGCACTCCCTCCGCTGGCCAGAATGGCCTCATCACTGATGAAATGACCTCATTGGGGCCTTCTGTAGCCTGAGGCTGCCCTTATTCCTGGGGTGTGAATGCTGCTGGAGCAGGCTCTTCCTCCAGACTTCCCTGGACTGGGGTCCTTCCGTGGACCCCCAGGGCACCAGGCTGTTCGAAGTGGGCAGGCCTGGATTAGAGGATTAGGGTGTCCCTGTCCCCTGTTACTGTGGTGCCCATTACTGGGGAGAGTCCTACTCCCTGTACCCTGATGATGTGGAAGAGGTGGCGTCCACATTTCCCCTTTGCTCTTTGAGGGGTCCTGGGGAAAGTAACCAGAAAGACCAAGAAACCCTGAGAGAACGAGAACTTTATATGCGAAGGTGGGGGGAGCCGCATATTAGCGCGGGAAGATGCGGCCGTCGGCGCTCTCCTCCAGAATGGTCTCTACGCGCCTCCGCTGAAAGAGAGAGAGAGAGAGAGTGGGGAGGCAGACGGTGCCCCTCTTTGCCCCTTCCCGGGTTTGCTGGTACCTCTTGGCGGTCCAGGGGGTCCGGGATCCGCGTGGGCTTTAGCTGCGGCGGCAGAAATAGCTCGAGCCGGATGGCGGCGCGCGCAGACTTCTGCCGCTGGATGAGGAGCGAGATCTCTTCCGCCTGCGGATGCCGAAGGTCTCAGAGCAGGCGCTGCACATTGCCTCGTCTCCTCCCCAGGGGTGCCCCACTCTGTCCTCTACATTTGCCACCTCCTCCTCCCGCAGGTGACCTGCTGGTCTTGTCTCCCGGTCAGTCCCTCCGCCCTGGGCCCCCTAGCCTCACCCGCATGCGTGTGTAGCGCAGCCTCAGGGCGCGGACTCTCCCGCGGGCCTCTGCTGCCTTGAGGACACCGAGGAGCCTTTTCTGGCTCTCGGCCGGCAGCTCAAGTGACTGGGTGCACGCGTGCGGGTCGGGCATGCGGTACCCCAGCTCCACTGAGTCGCGCGGGAAGATGGAGGCCGTTGCGCCCACGTCCTCCAGCAGGTCCCCGAAGAGCAGGTGGCGGTGGCGCTGCGCAGGGAGCATGGCCGCCAGCCCCTCCAGCGTCAGGGCCCAGCCCGGCTTAGGGGGCTCTGTCGGAGGGGCCCCCTTGGCACGCTCCTCCTTAGGCCTTGCGCCTGGCGCACTCTTCCCAGTCTGCTCCCGCAGGCCCTTGAGCCCGGTCTCTTTAGCCGGCGGTTGCATCCTCCTGCCCTGCCTAGGGGAGAAGGCGTTCCATTCTCGCCTGAGCTGGCACTGGGCCCTAGCCTGGCCCGACTCCACCGTGCACTCCAGGTCTGGCCTGGCTGGATTTTCCGAAGTGGGCCTTAGGTCCCGCACCTTGGGCCTCTGCTCCTTCTCCCAAGCGGATTCCTCCAATTAGCACATGTCCCCAGTAGCTCAGCCTCAGTACTACAGCCAGCTAGTTTTAGGAAGTACCTTTCCCAACCTACCGGCTGTTCTGTTTGAAGAGAGAAAATGCAGAGACCTCCGGAGTAGATCTCAGGCCTTACCCAGGAGTGGAGACCACATAGGAGATGTACGGGGATCATGGGTCAGCCAGAGCCTTCCCTGTCCCCTGGAACCCTAGGGACTGGTCTGATCTATCCTGCCCGGCACTGGCTGGGGGACCCTCAGCCTTAGTGTTAGGGACTGGGGTGGAGGGCCATGGGCCTTCATTTTGTCCTGAGCAGAAGACCCAGGCTCTTGGGGAGACGTGTGTGAACATCTCTGAGTGTGTGTGTGTCTGTGTGTGGTCTTCATAGCTATCTTTGTGCATATGTTTGGTGAGGCTCAAAGCCCAGGGGACAGCTGGCTCAATGCAAGGGGAGCCCCCATCCTCTGGAGGGGGGCCGTAAAGGAAAAGGGAGAGAAGGAAACGAGCCCGAGGGTCCCGGTACAAATCTCCAGCCCACCTGGCTCCCGGGCCCCAGCCTACAGCCTGTCCCCTATCTGGGTCCACACACCTCGTACTTTTGCCTTCTCAGTCCGAACCAGTACCTGAGCCAGGACTCTCAGGGGCGTGTTGACGCTGTTGCCCGGCAACCAGGAATCCCGCCCCTCCATCCCGGAGGAACCAGGCGGCCCTTTGGCGTCGGGGAGTGGGTGGGAGCTGGGGCGATTGCGTAGGGGACGCACGCAAACAAAGAACCATTTTCAGCCCCTGTAGCGTCATTTTTAGACTTCTGGTCCCAGAGGTCTTTGGAGCTAGTGTGTGCTCAGCTCTGAGACCTTTGGGGCTGAAGTCCTTTTTCCCTCTGGCGTTAGCTGAGAAGGGTAACTGGGGCTCAACTCAGGACCCCTCAGCTCTTCTAGGACAAATTTCTCCAGCTCTTCTAGGACAAATTTAGGATCTCAGAGGTCCAGGTGTCCGCCTGAGTTTTACTAAACTCTAAATCTCTGGATCATGGGTCCTAGGTCCTAGATTTCTGATTTGTACATTCACTAATTTCATAATATTTTGTAACTAATTCATTTCTCAGTTTGTTAATTGATACTATAATTTTTCTTTTTTTGAGACAGAGTCTCAAGCTGTCACCTTGGGTAGAGTACTGTGGTGTCACAGCTCACAGCAACCTCAAACTCTTGGGCTTAAGCGATTCTCTTGCCTCAGCCTACCAAGTAGCTGGGACTATAGGAGCCCACCGTAACACCTGACTATATTTTGGTTGCAGCCATCATTGTTGTTTGGTGGGCCCAGGCTGGATTCGAACCGGCCAGCTCAGGTGTATGTGGGCTGGTGCCTTAGCCACTTGAGCCACAGACACTGAGCCACATCTGGCTATTTTTAAATTGTAGTTGTTATTGTTGTTTGGCGGGCTCAGACTGGATTTGAGCCCATCAGCTTGGTGTATGTGGCTGGTGCCCTGGCCACTTGAGCTACAGGCGTGGAGCCTGATTCTATAATTTATTCAAGCATTAACTGGTGTATTTTATAATTCATTAACTTGTGCTCATTCCACAGTTTAAGTAAGGCAAAAGGGTAAATCCATAATCTGTCACTTGCATAGCATATACATAGATAGCTCTCCCTACATTCAGAGATGTTCCTGCTGAGGTCAAAGGATGGTGCCCTTCTGGGAGTTTGGGGCCTCAGCATCTGCGAGTGGGGTCAGCGTGGCATAGGGGTGGTGTCTTAGCTGAGGCTCTGGCCTTTTGGCAGGAGGCATCAACATGACTTGTTGAAGATTCCTGCGCTCTGGGAAGAAACAGTAAGAGTTTAGAGAGGCTCACTAGAGGGTACCTCCTCCAAGTTTCCTTCCAGGATACATGAAGCACAGCTTGGGACTGCTTCTATGCTTCCATGGGGTGGGGGGGGGAGTCCTTTGAGACGAGGACCCAGACCCTCCACCCTCCTTTCAACTTCCCAGGGTCCAGACAAGGGGGATGCATGAGTAGCTCCTTGTTGTAGTGTGCAGGTCACACAGGATGTAGAAGAATGTTTTGTTGTCCTACAAGAAAGAATTTATAATCTTGTGTTTTTGTAGGCTTGGAAAATCGTCTTCTAATTCCCAGCAAGGTACTCCCAGGGCCTAACCCCTACTATTTCTCCACACATTTGCCTTCTAGCCCAGTGTGTCTCCCATCTCTTTCTGTCCTCAGGACTCATAGATTTTTCCAGGGGTAATGGGAATGCTGAGATCTAAGAGCTTGTTTTGGTGCCAAAGTCTCAAAATAAAACTTCAAAATCAGATTAATAAGCTTTATTAAATGACTAAAAAATTTAACATTGTATGAAAAAGCTGCAGCTTAATTCTTTTGTCATTGTTTGTGAATTTGGTTAAAATCACAAGGACACAGTAATTTATTTTGATGAAGCTCAGAATTGTTAAAATTCTTTCACTTTTTTAACACCACAAATGGCCCAGGATGGCTTGGTGATTGGATTCCCCAGGGGACAGCTGATCTGTGTGGGGCTGCTCTCAGCCCAGCCCAGGGATGAGGAGGTCTGGGGAAGAAGGGGCTGGCAGAGCTGAGCCACTGTATGGGAGAGAGGCACATTTGGGAGCTAGGCCTGCTCAGGTACGGAGAAGCACCTAGTGTAGCCCCTGTCTGGCTTTAACCATAATTTGTGGACATGTGTTCTGTGGTGTCATTCCTGTGAACTTCAGGCCTTGGGCTGTCCTTGGTGTCCTTGCATGTTGCAGTTCTATGACATGAATTTGAGGTTTTCTTGCTTTGAGACACATGTTCTCTCACATAGCTCATCCCCTGTATCCTTCAAGTAACATGTATATTCTGTGTCAGACCCTGGCTCTGTGTTTGGCCCTCGGGAGGGGTCATCCTGCCCTTACCATACCGTACCGTATTTGCCACTGGGCTATCTCTTCTATACCACCAGACCCACAGTGGTATGGGAACCCTTCAGGGTCTGGGGCTGGCCCCTGCTAACCCCAGAGAGTGTGGTCAGCAACCTGTACTGGCCATCCAACTGTACTGGGTGATCAAACCTGTCCTTCCATTGCAGATTGCACCTGTGAGTGGCTGGATATCTGCCTCCAACTGGGCTCCATTGGACACACTTTCAGGGGATGTTGACTGAGACTGGAGCTCATAGGCTGGGCCTGGTACAGCATCATTAAGTCATGACCAAGGCTGCAGAGCTCCCAGGGCTGGAGGGAGGTGGGTAAGGGCAGGGAAGGCTTCTTGAAGAAAGTGGGTTTAGTGCTGGCTGGGGTTGTACAGGCTCTGAGTTGGGGGCAGGCTGTGTGGGAGGAGGACAGGATCTCAGCAGGGGTGAAGGATCTGGGCAAAGTATGAAGGATTTGACCAGGGGTGGAGGATCTGAGCAAGAGATGGAGGATTTGAGGAGGCGGGGTGGAGGATCTGGACAAGGGTGGAGGATCTGGGTAGGCGGTGGAGGATCTGGGCAGGGGTGGAGGATCTGGGCAAGGGGTGGAAGATCTGGGCAAGGGGTGGAGGATCTGAGAAGGGGAGTGGAGGAGTTGAGCAGGGGCTGGAGAATCTGAGGAAGGGAGGAGATGTGGCTTACATCTGGGCAGGATGTAAGCAGTGTGTGCAGGATATTAGCAGGGGGTGGAGGATCTGAGCAGGGGGTAGAGGGAGGGGTGGAGGATCTGGGCAAAGGGTGGAGGATCTAGGCAAGGTGGGGAGGATCTGGGAAGTGGGTGAAGGATGTGAGGAGGGGAGTGGAGAATCAGGGCAGGGGTGGAAGATCTGAGGAGGGAGGAGGAGGATCTGGGCATAGGTGGAGGATCTGAGCAGGGGATGGAGGATCTGGTCAGTGGGTGGAAGATCTGGGCAGTGGGTGGAGGATCTGGGTTGGGGATAGGATCTGGGCAGGACATGCAGAACAGGCAGAAGGGAGGGAAGAGCAGGCCCACATCTGAAGAACACAGGTGTCATGCTGGCACATGTGTGCTCTTGGTTCTGCATGTGTGTCAGGGCAGATAACACAGAACACACAGGCTACAGGGGGAGAAGGTCTGGAGTGAGGGTGCTGAGGCCTGGCTGTGGACCCTGCTCGTTTCCCACATCATTAGAGGCCTCTCTTGACCCCTGAAAAATGAGGCCAAGGGGGAGTTGGAGACAGCCTTGGCATGTGTCAGGTGGGTGCTTATTGCCTGGGGGAAAGAGACCAGAGTTGAAAGAAGTGGGGGCGTGGGGAGCAAGATGTGACCTTTGCTGGGTGACCTCTTTCTTCCTCTTCCTCTCCCGGTCCCTTCCTGATCTCTCCACATGTTCTTCCCCCCTCCTTTCCCCTTTCTCCGTCTCCTTATCCCAACCTCCATCTTCCCTCTATGTGGCTGCAGTAGGAATTTGGAAAGGGGAGGGGTCTGCAGTTGCAGGGGTTAAGTATCCCTTTCTCCTACCCTACCGTGGTCTCTGACACTGGCTCTTGCGCTGGAGTACCAGGTGGTGCTCCTTTGTCCCCTTCCCCTGGGAGTCTCTGCCCACCCTCACAGTGCCTATGGTGACCCCCCTCCCCAGTGTGGGGGGCTTGGCCTGGGAGACAGCTGAAGGCTATTAGGAAATGAGGTGGATTGGCAGATAGGCACAGGCAACTGGGGCAGGAGAGTCTGGGGTCTCCTGCTCAGGCCTTGGTGAGCCCAGCTAGGGGAAGCTGCAGAAGTCCTGCTTGGATTCTTGTCTCTCCTGGGCACTGGAGGTCAGCACAGGTGGGACTTGAGGTTTTGCATGGGGAATGTGTTTGTGCATGTGTGTGTCCCAAGACCTTGGTCTGTGTGTGCCTGTTCCCAAAGGTGTTCATACCCTCTCATGTCTACTGGTGTACATGTGTGCACCTTGGTGTGGGCTCGCATGAGTGTGACCCTTGTGTTTGTGCATCCCTGTGAGTGCATGTATAATTCTGAGTATGGGCCTGTGTCTCTCTGTAGTCACCCATGTGCCTGTGTGGGTGTTTGCAGGAATATATATCCCCATCTGTCCTTGAGTGTCTCTGTGCATGTGCTTATGTCTTCACACGTGTCCCTAAGTCCTGGTTGCTATAAAGATGCAGAGGTGACTCTTGGGGGACAAGTTGGGATGCTGTGTCCCGGGGCATCTGCCTTTGCTGTCCTCTCTTGATTGCTGAGTATCTTAGCAACGCTGCTGCCAGTTGCCTAGCAACCAGGTCCCCATCCTTGGAGAAGGTGCTCTGAGCAGGGTCTGGGCTGTGTGTGTGGAGAGGTCTGGCTCTCCTCCAAAGTATGTGCAGGAAAAGCAATGCCATGACTGGTTGGGGGCTGGTGACTCAACTCAGGGGTCCCCCACATGGCCTTGGCCTGTGATTTTTTATCTCAGTGGACTGTACAGGTGACCCCAATGCTGAGGAGGCTACTCTGGAGGAGCTGTTCAGCTGTGCGGGTGCTGGGGGCTTGTCTGATGCTCTCATGTTGCTTTGGGACCCAGCCATGGCAGAGAGATGTTCTTGGTGTGTCTCTAAACAGACCTGGGTTTTAACCCTGTCTTTGCCCCTTGACAGGCAGTTCTGCCCCTTTGAGGCTAATGCTGTGGTGGCAACAGCCAGATGTGGTGAGGATTAATCAGCTCATGTCTGTGCCAGGCTTGGTGCAGCAGGAATGAGGCACACACAGTGAGACAGCTGATGCTGCGTCCTGGATCCCAGCGCCCTGCCCGCTTGTTTACAACGAGGCTCTGGTCTGCTGAGAGCTGCCAGCTGGGGGCGCTGCTGCGCGCCTGCTCAGCTGCCTGGGGGCTGGGCTGCCTGTTCTGGCCAATGAGCCAAGGCCGTTTCTCCATGTGAGATGTGGTCCCACGCCTGTGTGTCCAGGTCTGTGAGTACGTCTCTGTGTGTGTCTGTTCGAGTCTCCGTCCTCATGTCTGAGTCTGTGTGTCCTTTTGTGTATGTCTGTCCCTGTGTCTGAGTTCCTATATCTCCATTCTTGTGTCTGTGAACCTGTGGGCACTTCTGTTCCTGTGTGTCTGTCTGGGGTCAGTGGCTTTGAGCCTCACTGTCTCTTATGTGTGTCCTGGTCCCATGTCTATCTCTCTCTAGTGTGGGGCCCTGGGTGAAGTGACATACCTTCCCTGGTGGCCCCCTCCTCCAGCCAGCAGAGCTCCTCCCCCATCTGCAGCCTTTTCCCCTCCCCCAGCTTGGCTGCTGCCTGGTCTGTCTGCAGAGGAGAAGAAGCCACACTGCTGCAGCTGCCCCATCCAGACCCCATACAGGTCCTGTCCTGAGGCAAGCAACAAATCCCTCCTGCCACACCCTACTCTGCCCTGTCCCTGTCTGCTGTCTACGGTCCCAGCTCCCAAGGTTTCGAGGTAAGGACCTGAGCCTTGGTGGTGGAGGGAATCTGCTGATGGCCTGCAGCTGCGTGGTCAGGGCTGTGCAGCATGGGAGGGAGCTGTGCTGAACTGCCCTATGTCCTGTGTGCCTGGCACTTCTGAGTGTGTCTCAGTCTGTCTTGTGCTGCATGTGCATGAGGGCAGGTTTGTGTGTGGGTACACATGTGTCCCTGTGTGTATGGGAGTCCCTGTGGGTGGATATGTGTCCCCATGTGTTGCTACTGTAACACAGCCCATATTTGAATCTGCAAGTCAACTGAGAGCATGTCCTTGTGGGTGTAGTGTGTCTCTGTTTTTTGTGAGTCCGTTTGTGTGCACTTGTGTCTTCATGTCTCTGTGTGCCCCTACATGTGCATATATGTAAGCCCAGGTGCCTCGGTGACTGTGGAGCCCATGCAGTTCCTAGGGCTTGCTGGGCTGCATGTGCTGTGTTTTGAGGCCTCAGCTGGACTTGTGTCTGGTGCTGCAGTCACGTGTCTGTGACCTGTCCCAGGTACTGTGCCCAGCGGTTTTGTAGGACAGCAGCATGGAGTCCCTCTTCCCTGCCCCATTCTGGGAGGTTCTCTATGGCAGCCACCTGCAGGACAACCTATCTCTCCTGAGCACTAACCACAGCCTGCTGCCGCCCCATCTGCCACCCCATCTGCTGCTCAACTCCAGCCACAGTGCCTTCCTGCCCCTTGGGCTCAAGGTCACCATTGTGGGGCTCTACCTGGCTGTATGTGTCGGGGGGCTGCTGGGGAACTGCCTCGTCATGTATGTCATCCTCAGGTAGGCTAAGCCACCAAGGTCCTTGTTTGGGGAAACTGATGAAGGCTGTTAAGGATGGGTCTGAGCAGGTGGTGGTTTCTTGTTCCCCCGACTACTTTATTTTTCATTCTGACCAGGGTTAATCCAGGGAGGGTGCTGACAAGGGGGAAGGGGAGAGCAAGGGAACGGGACCTGCCCTGCCTCACCTAGGTCTGTCCCAAGCAAAGGAGCTCCCTCCCCGAGCCCTGGGTTGAGCTTCAGGCCTGTTTTGTGGTGAGATGTCTGTAGGAATGACCTTGTAAGCTTTCTAGTGACCCCCTGAGACAGCTCATGTCAGCCAGTTCCTCAAATGGACAGAGGGAGGCACAGGGGCAAGTGCAGGATGGTCCTGAAGCCCTTCCTCTCCTTTGTGCTGCATCTGTGAACTGCTGGTGTTCAGAGGGGAACAAGTCACAAGAACCAAAGAGATGGCAGCTGCCGGTACTAGAAAGTTGGGTTTGGGACAGCCAGGGGTGGGGAAGAGGGTAGGGAAGTTGGGGACAGCATGGGGGGGACATTGATGAGGAGGACAGTGTCAGGGGAATAGATTGGGGGACATGATAGGGGAACATTGAGGGGGACAGTATGAGGGGACAGCATAGGGGAACAGTACGGAGAGGACAGTATTGGGGGAACAGGTTGGCAGGGGCTGTATGGGGGGACATTGAAGAGGATAACATGAGGGGACAGTGTTGGGGACAGTGTGGAGAGGACAGTGTTGGGGGAACAGAATGGGGGTAGGGTGGAGGGACAGGTTAGGAGGATAGCATGTGGGGACGTTGAGGGGGACAGTGGGAGAACAGTATATGTGGGTAACAGGAACTTTTCCCATAGAGTTTCCCCAAGCAGAAAGAGAAGGTTTCTGGGCATAGGCAATGAGTTACCCTGTCCATGCAGATGACAGAGCTGAAGGGGCTGGGGAGAGCAGGTGGTGTCTGGAATGCTAGGTTGGGGGAACTTTGTTTTTCAGGCAATAGGGGGTTGCAGGAGGTTCTTGAGCAGGAAAACGGCAGAACAATTTCTTACTGATCCATGACGGTCCCCTTGATCCAGAAAAAGGTGATTAAGAAGAAAACGTTCAGGGCTCTGAACAAAGTTGTTCCTCAGAGGCCCCAACCAGAAGTGTTAGGTGGGAAAGGTGTTGGTGGAGGCAGGACAGGGAAGTGGGGGTGTTCATGCTCTGCCTCCCCAACTCTATCCTCTATGTGTCTCTGAGCAAACCTTGTTTCCCTTTGGGCCTTGTTTTCCCCATCTGGACATTGTGGAAGGTGGACCATATAACTTCATGTATGTGTACATGTGTGTGTTTGTGTGGAGCATGGTTAGACAACAGGGTGGGAAGAAAAGCTGCCCCCCACCCCAGTGCTGACCTCCTGGGGAGTCTGTTTCATGATCTACATGCCCTTTTAGGGCTAGAGGGTGTGTCATGAATCAGAAGTTCAGCAACCAGGGGCAATCCGTGTGTCTTGACCACCCTTCTAGTTGTTAGTGTTTCGCTTCTATGTCTTTCTTCTACAGTGGGATATTAACATTCTTAGAGCCACTTCTGGACTAGAGCAGACTAGGAAGGTCACCTTGCCCGTCAGAGTCCCCAGAGAGAATGATGCTCAGGAATTGCTAGCCACATTGGCCTGAGAGGGGCAGCACACATTGTGCTCTGAGCCAGTGGACTGGAGTGTAGTTCCAGAAGTCATAAACACCTTGTTCTGAGCCCTGCCCTGCTATTTACTGGCTCTAAGGCCTTAAAAAAGCACCTTAGATCCTCTGAGCTTCAGTTTTCTCCTTGATAGAGTGGGGTTCAAAATATTTTATAAATCTTAAGTGAGATAAAATCCATGTGAAGATCTTGGCACAGATATCTGATGTAATCATTTTCATTATTATTTGGTTGTAATTGAGGCCTTTTTATGCTTATTCATAATTGCCCTGTAAGAGACAGAACTAAATCTCACATTTCCTCAGGGCAGCTAAACTGATATTGTTATCTCTAGTGCTGCTGCCACCACCACTACCATCGCCATCATCACCATAACTACCATCACCATACCACCACCATCACCACCATTATCACCACCATCGCCACCATCACCACCATTATCACCACCATTGCTACCATCACCACCACCATCACCACCATCACCATTACCACCATCATCACCGCCATTAGCACCATCATCATCACCACCATCATGATACCACCACCATCACCATCACCACCATCACCATCATCACCACCATCACCATTAGCACGATCACCATCATCACCCCTATCCCCATCACCATCACCACCACCCTCACCACCATCATCAGCATCATCACCACCACCATCACCATACTACCACCATCATCACAACTACCTCCCACTACCATCACCACCACTGCCAACACTATCACTATCATGACTACCACTACCACCATCATAATTCCCTCTCTAGTACTACGACATTAATTCATTTAACAAAAATTTATTAATCACTTACAATTTTCCCAGCCCTATTCCAGGTACTTGGGTACAATCAGTCCCATTAGCATCCCTTCTGTTCCTGTAACCATTTTATGTCTCCATTGCTGGACAACAGTGTGGGAAGGACTTTGATATTTTCTTATGGACTCTGAACTCTGGAGCCCTCAGAAACCTCTGTCAGCTGTAGGGCCAGCATTTGAATCCATGAGGGGTCTTTAGGGAGACTCAAAATGGAGGAAGACAGGTTCTTTCTCTTATTATTCTACCCTTTGGTCCTGCACAGAGTCCACTGTGAGCTCCAGTACCCTACATGTCCCAACTATTCCAAAGCAGACCAGTCTTCAAGGTTTGGAACCCTTTTGTGTGTGTCAGAGTCACTTGAGGAGCTTGTTAAAATGTTTGATCCCAGGCTCTATCCCCTGAGACAGACTCAGTGGGTCTTAGGTTGTGTCCAGCTCCCTGGGGGACTCAGATGTTGAGGGAATCAGAGATGGTGACCCTCATTGGTGGCCAAAAAGATGAATCCCTTGCCCTTTCATGCCAGGGTGGCCAAATGAAGTCTTTCCTTTCCTTGTCCTCTGCAGGCACACCAAGATGAAGACAGCTACCAACATTTACATCTTTAACCTGGCCCTGGCAGACACCCTTGTCTTGCTAACACTGCCCTTCCAGGGGACAGACATCCTCCTGGGCTTCTGGCCATTTGGGAATGCTCTGTGCAAGACAGTCATTGCCATTGACTACTACAACATGTTCACCAGCACCTTTACCCTGACCGCCATGAGTGTAGACCGCTATGTAGCCATCTGCCACCCCATCCGTGCCCTCGATGTCCGGACATCCAGCAAGGCCCAGGCTATCAATGTGGCCATCTGGGCCCTGGCCTCTGTTGTTGGTGTTCCTGTTGCCATCATGGGCTCGGCACAGGTTGAAGATGAAGGTTGGTGGGTGGCCCCTTCTCCCTGCACCAGGCTGCCTGTGCTTCTGGGGTCTTCACTGATCCCACCTGCCCTCCCATTTCCTGGGGCCCACTCTTACCTTGTTTCTCCTCCTGCAGAGATCGAGTGCCTGGTGGAGATCCCCTCCCCACAGGACTACTGGGGCCCTGTGTTTGCTGTCTGCATCTTCCTCTTCTCTTTCATCATCCCCGTGCTCATCATCTCTGTCTGCTACAGCCTCATGATCCGCCGACTCCGTGGCGTGCGCCTGCTCTCAGGCTCCCGCGAGAAGGACCGGAACCTGCGACGCATCACCCGGCTGGTGCTGGTGGTGGTGGCCGTGTTTGTGGGCTGCTGGGCACCTGTCCAGGTCTTTGTGCTGGTGCAGGGCTTGGGTGTTCAGCCAGGCAGCGAGACTGCAGTGGCTGTTCTGCGTTTCTGCACAGCCCTGGGCTATGTCAATAGCTGCCTCAACCCTATCCTGTATGCCTTTCTGGATGAGAACTTCAAGGCCTGCTTCCGGAAGTTCTGCTGTGCGTCTGTCCTTCGGCGGGATGTGCAGATGTCTGACCGTGTGCGCAGCATTGCCAAGGATGTGGCCCTGGCCTGCAAGACCTCTGAGACTGTCCCACGGCCTGCATGACTAGGCGTGGACCTGCCCATGGTGCCTGTCAGCCCGCAGAGCCCATCTACACCCAACACAGAGCTCACCCAGGTTACTGCGCTCTAGGCTGACACAATGTGAGCCTTGAGAACCCAGAGCCTTGAATGAGCTTTCCCTTTAGCCCAGAGATGCTCGGTCCCAGAGGAGGACCTAGTGACATCATGGGATAGGTCACAGCATGAAGGCTACCTCTGTGCCCCAGTTAGATTAAAGCTGCCTTCCCAGTGTAGGGCTTAGAGGGACATAGGACTTCACCTGGAAGCATCCACTGATGCCATGAGCTGGTGGCATGTCTGACTGGATCTTGCACACTTGCTCCCACACTTCCAGAGACTCCTTGGCCCCTGTGTGTGCTGTGTCTGAGGAGCCCCATGTCTTCTGATGGTGCTACAGGTGTGACTGTAGCCATGCAGCCATGTGTTGGGCACTGTTGTATAGCAAGTTTCCCACTGCCCTCAGCCTGGTGGTATCCCTTCAGGGTAGCTGAATGGGCATGGTGCTGCCCAGGAAGCGAGTGGGCAGCTATTCTTTGGGGGTGGGCCTGGCTCTGAGATCAGAGCTGCCAACTGGAGCACCCAGCTGTTCTGACCCCACCTGTGTAGCCAGGTTACCTGCAGAGGGGTGTTGGGTGGCTGCCTGCCCCTGCCTGGAGGCCCTGAGTGGGTCCTTGTGACATACCACAGATTGTGGGTATGGATGCGCCTGTGCCTCAGCACTGCTGACACTTGTGGCTGGGCTCTGGGTCTGATGCCTACTTCTCCTTCAGGAGACTAGCAGGAGGTTCTGGCCTTCATCTCCAGAAATGTGATGGATTGTCCAGTGAGCTCTGCCTCTTGTATGTGGGAAGCGGCCCCGAAGGAAGATCCCACCCCCTCATTCCCAAAGCAGAGGGCCTGTGTTCCCAGTCTTGGCTGCTTTTTAGGGCAAGGCAGGGAACATTCTCAGTCTGGGGATCCCCATGTCCTCCCGTGACCCCCTCATAGCCTCTCCTTTGCTTGAAATCAGAGGCCAGCGGCTATGCTGGGTTTGGGGGGAAGACTGTGCAGAAGGAGACCCTGGTGGTCTTGGAGAGTGGCAGCACTGTATCCTGTTGCACCTCAATGACTGCCTGCTCCCTTGCAAGCTTTAGGGGTCTCTGGGCAAGGCCTGAGCTTGCTGCCAAGTTGGAGGACAGCTTCATGTGCAGAACCAGCATGGGGGAGGGGGCTGGCAGAGCTTCAGGATGATGAGAGTGTCTCTATATCATGGGAATGCCCCTCTGTGGCCACTCATGCAATTACCTTACTTGGTCTACAGACAGAAGTTGCAGGTTGGTGACTCTTCCTGCAGAAGAGCTATTGTGATACCTGCTTGAGAAGGTACTGAGAAGACTCTGTTTTTTAACTGAGACCTTAGCCAGGTGACCTTAGCCACCTGCAAAGAATAGGAAGCACTGTTTGGCTCAGCCACAGAGCCTGGGTTGGATTCTGCCTTGGGGAGCCTTTTTCATAGGGGCTATTCCTACAGAGGTTGGGCTCTCTCCCAATGCCTGTGGCCGGAGGCTCTGAGGACAGGAGCTGGCTGGCAGCACTGCTTTCTTGCTAAGGCTAAAAAATTTGTGAATTTGTGCTGACATGATATGCATCTTTATGTATTTCTGCATGAGACAAGTGTCATTTCCCATGCATGTAGCCAACCTTGAACCTGTCTCTGTGGTAATGAAGGAGCCTGAAACAACCACCTGCTCACAGAGAACTGGGTGTTTTCAGCAGGAGTTCTGAGTCCTGCCACGAGGGGGACTGGCCTGTTGGGGTAACTTATCTGTGATCCCATCCCATGGGTGGGAGGGGCTGGGGAATCCTCTCACCTGCTCTGTGCTTTCCACAGATCAGGCTCAGTCCTTAGATGGGGGGTCACCCAACAGGTACCAACACCAGGAGGGGTGAGTCCCGCTCATGGTGAGCTGGCTGCCACATTTTTTTCAGCACAAATTGTTTCTCCCTAAACAACCAAATGCTGTGACTCTTTCTTGCCCTCTGGGAAGAGAGAATCCTGTAGGTCTGTGAGTCTTCATTCAGTCTCAGCAGAAGTCCCACCCCTGACCATTTCCCCTTTCTCCAGCAGGTCCACGGAGACCTCTGGTGAAAAATGAACAGAATGGTCCCACTGGAGGCTGAGCAATCTCTCTCTATGATGGGGCGTTGCCTTCTGGTTCCTGCCTGGGTCCAATTCCACCCAGGTTGGCCTGACAGGTGGACGACTCTGTCAGATGGGCTTGGGTGCATCACTGGGTGTGCTCAGGTCAAAGTGCTTGTCTGCAGGGCATAGGCAGATGGGTCAGTGTCTGGCTGTGGCCAAGTTTTTTTTTTTTTTAGAGACAGAGTCTTACTTTGTTGCCCTGGGTAGCGTGCCGTGGTGACACAGCTCACAGCAACCTCCAGCTCTTGGGCTTAGGTGATTCTCTTGCTTCAGCCTCCCAAGTAGCTGGGACTACAGGTGCCTGCCACAACGCTCAGCTATTTTTTGTTGCAGTTTGGCCAGGGCCAGGTATGGGGTCAGCACCCTACTCCTTGAGCCATAGGTGCCACCCATGTGTATAAGTTTTAAGGACGGACACTGTCTTATCCTGGCTGCCATAACAAAACACCATAGACCAGGAGGCTCATAAACAGCAAACATTTATTTCTCACTGTTCTGGAGGCTGGAAGCCTGAGGTTAGGGCATGTGTGTAGTCAGGCCCTGGGGACAGCTGCCCCCAACTTGCAGAGAGCTGTCTTCTCACTGTGTCCCTTAATGAGTGTCCCTAATCCCATGCAAGAGGGGTCTACCCTCATGGTCTAATGCCCCACCTCCTAATGCCCTCAAATTAGAGAATTTCTTTCTTTTTTTTTTTTTTTGAGACAGAGCCTCAAGCTGTCCCCCTGGGTAGAGTGCTGTGACATCACAGCTCACAGCAACCTCCAACTCCTGGTCTCAAGTGAGTCTCCTGCCTTTGCCTCCCAAGTAGCTGGGACCACAGGCGCCCGCCACAATGCCCCGCCATTTTTTTTTTTTTTGGTTGCAGCCATCATTGTTGTTTGGTGGCCCGGGCTGGATTCGAAGCTGCCACCTTAGGTGTATGTGTCTGGTGCCTTAGCCACTTGAGCCACAGGTGCTGAGCCAAATTAGAGGATTTCAATGTATAAATTTTGGGGGGGACACAAGTAGTCTGTAAAAGACATAGTGCTGTTACAACAAAAATTTAGCAAATTTGGGAGAGGTAGATAAGCTGCATGGGGCAGCACAGTGCCTGTGGGCTCAATGTGGTCCTGGCCAAGGAGGTTCAAGTGTGTGGTCCTGGACTGCTGACCATCCTGCCATGGGATGTGGGTCCAGAGCCAACACCCATAGCTAGCTTCTGCCAGTAGCTAGGTCAGGCAGGGCGAGAGGTCACCGGAGGGGGGCTTCCCCAGGGCTGTACCCCTTTGGCTCATCCTCATCTTGCTCCCTCTTCCTCCCCAGCACCCCTCCTCTGTGGCTGGGCTTGGTCAAGTCATCTAGTTCCTCTGAGCCTCAGTTTTCTCCTGTGTGCCAAGGGGACCGCACAGCCATCTTGTGGGGTTGTGGGGAAAACTGGGGGTATCCTTAGGACTTGGGGCCCTGTCCCACCTCAGGAAAGCCTGAGTCGGCTGGTGGCTTTGGACTCTGCCCACCAAGGGTGTGGTGGCCCTGCATGTGCCCAGCTAAAGATGCCAGAGAGACTCCATGGGTGGCAGTGAGGTCTGGAGTCTGGAAGCCAGAACCAGGCTCTCCCAGACCTGTGGGCAGGGCAGAATGAGCCCCTTAGTGGGGTTCCATGCCCCCAAGTGTCAAGAAGTCAGGGAGCAGATCCTGGCGAGAGCCTGTCTCTCTTCTTGGCTGGACATGGCTCCTTAGTTCTTGAGATCTTTCTGGTACCTGGGGGAGGACCCTCTCTCTCTCCTTGGCTGGAAGTGGCCTGCAGTCCACTGGCTGTGTCTGATTTGCTTTGGGCTCACCTTGGTGGGCTGTGGATATGGAAGGGTCTGGGTTTTTAGAGGAGCTTGCTCAACATCTTCCCTGCTGTGGAGATGTCCTGCTGGGGCCAGAGGAACAGGGGAAGGCATGGGGGTGGACACTGGCCATGAGGGCTGAGGGCCTTTGTTGGGCAGGCGCTCTGCTCCCCAAGCCTCCCTGGGGGCCCCAGTGTTTGGGCCTCATCACTCCTCATACCTGGTCTGGATCTCCATGGCATCTAAGAAGTGTAACCTGAGTGAGCCTCTCAAGGAGCTAGCAAGGTGCGGGAACAGCAGCAGGCAGATGTGGTAATTAGGCTGTGGTATGAGGTGTGATTAGCACTGCTTGTTCTGTGGGCTGTGGGTGTGGGTGGTGACTCAGAGTAGCCACAGCTCCTGAGTGGGGGCTGGCCTTGGTGACTTGCTCTAGTGCACAGAATGTGGTGGAAGGGACCCTGATGTGACCGCTGAGATGTGGTCACCAAAGGCCTTGGAAGTGTCCTTTTGGCTCTCTCCTGGACCTCTCAGCTGCCATGTTGTGAGGACACCCAGACAGCTCTGCAGAGGGGGCCTAAGGCCTCCTGCCAAAACTGTGTCAGGGACTCCTTCTTAGAAGCAGCTCCTCCATGTCCTGCCCAGCCTTCAGATGACCAGAGTCTTGGCCAATGTCTTGACTGAAAACTCAAGAGACACCCTGAGCCAAAACCACCCAATAAGCCATTTCAAAATTCTGACCGACAGAAGTTGTGAAATAACAAGTGTTGTTTTAAGCTGCTCGGTTTTGGAGATATTTTTGATGTTGCAATATGTAGGTCCTACAATGCCATCAGGGCAGGTAACAGGTAACATTGAGAGGGCAGGTCCAATAGTCCAAGAACACTGGAATGGGCTGGTGAGAGGTGGGCAGTTACCTCATGGCAGGAAACCTCAGGGAGTGGTAAGTGGTGGGTCTGGTGTGCTACCTGGACAGACTGGTCAGAGTGCTGGGTCACGAGGACCAAAACTACCCCAGACAACTCATGCTGTGCAGCAAGGTTGGGTGCCTGTGTGGGGCCAGATGAGAGCCATGGCACTAAGAGTGGGGGACTGGTCAGAGCACACTTGGACTTCTGGGACCTGCTATCACTGCTCCCACCTGGTAGCTGATGGTTCCTGAGCAGCCTGTACTTCAGAGCCCACAGTGTCTGCTGGCTAAGTCTAGGCCCAGGCCACCCCAGGCAGGAAGGAATTCTAGATACCAAACTTTCCAGGTGACAGATGGCACCTAGACTGTGGTGGCCTAGAGGCCCTGACACAAGGGCTCTGTGTCCTGTAGCAGAATATAAGGGGGGCATAGGCCACTGCATGGGGGCACAAAGGGACACAGACCATAGACTGGGCACACAGGAGGATGGATTGGCCTTGTGGGAAAATGTTGCTTTGGCTTCAGGCCATGAGAGTGAAGTGCATGATCTCATTGGATGTGCGCACCCTTAGTGTTTACAACGACACTTGGCGTTGCTGCCTGCTGTGCCTATACTTCTGTCACTTCCCAATCATGTCTTGGGAGGAGCCCAACAAGTCCTGACTGTGGAACACAGTGCTGGCCCAAGGACAAGGTCACAGTTCAGGTTCTTTCCCCCCGAGACCTCTGTTCACTGCCTGGGGGCCTGTCTATCTGTCTCCCTGTGGGCGGGTAAATCCAGGATATCTGACCTTCTGCCAGGACCTGAATCCCTGCTGCAATCCACCCAGGGGCTTTCTGGGGAGTAGAGACACAGCTGTCTCACGGGTCTGGTGGCCAGGCTTCAGAAGTCTTTGTCTCTCTGTATGGAGAAGATAAAATTTGGTTGTGAACAGGAAAGGTGTTCCCTAAAGGCCCCTCAGCACTAGAATGTGGTGTGAAAATTCTCAAAGAAGCTACCATCCAGGGGGGCGTAGAGGAAGGGGTTGAGGCCCACGTTGGCATAGCTGAGGCTGCTGATGATATATGACATGCAGACATTTGGGGGAGGTCTGTGGTCAGAGCCCGTTGGAGGACAGGTGGAAGAGTGTTCAGCAGGGGAGGCACACGGACAGCACCACATCACAAGGACTAGCATGGTCACTTTCCTCCGGGCCTTGCTCTGAGCTGCACAACTACAGTCTGTATGGCAGGTCAATGTAGAGCACACAGATGGTGTCACACCGGCACTGAAAAGCCCAGGGCCAGTGTGTAGATATGGCTGGCCTTGAACTAGTCTGCTTGGGCTGTGGGCAGCTCAGCCCATAGTTTGGGACCTACAGCTCATTGCTGTAGATGCCAGTGAAGGAGAAGAAGGGCAGGGCTAGGATCATGACACCCAGCCAGATACATGGGCTGGTGATCTTTGCTCCCCTGTAGGTTCACCAGGGTATGGGGTGTGACTGTGCTGTGGCCAGCTAGGCCGTGTAGTGGTTCATGCTAATCACGGCCAGGAAGTTGACATTGGAGATGTTACAGTGGTTGGTGGCCAGTGCCAGCATGCAGAAACCCTCCCCAAGGGGCTGGCACTGCAGCTGGTGCTTGCGATGTTGGCCGCAGTACCAATGAGAAGAGCCTGTTGGTGACAGCTGGGTTCAGGATGAACACGTTACTCACTGTCTTCATCTTGGGTGCCCTGAGGATCACAAGGACAATGGCCTCGTTACCAGTCAACCCTGCAGCACAGGTGGCAGAGTACACTGACAGCAGGAGCACAGAGAGGGGAGCAGTGGCTCAGCAGGTGTCATTGGTGCCTGTCTCTGCTGTTGAATGGCTTGAGTGCCCAGTGGCCTATATTGGGAGCTAGAGCCACATAGTCTATGACTTGGGGGTGTCTTGGAGCCAGGTGTCTCCAAGACACCTGGGAAAGAAACAATCAGAAACTTTGGGATCTGTGGTCACAATAGTGGCCACCTTAAATTCTCTGGCAGAGCTTGTGGCCACTTTGCCAGGGCAAGGACTCACAGGCTTGCACCGTCCAATCTGGTTCTGGGGCCAGAGGGAGCCTGGAGGGACATGTGGGGGCATCTTCCAGCTTCCTCCTGGGGGGCACTTTTGGTGCATCAGTGCTTCTCCCCAAACTCACTCCTGCTGATCACATCTTCTTGGGAGCAAGAGACATGAATGTGCCCACTGCCCCTGCCCTAGCAGCCCTTGAAGTGCAATCTAAGCAAAACTAAGGCAGTTTCCTGGTAAATGTGCCTCCTGGATGCATTTCTGCTCCTTTGACCCCAACTGCCTTCTTCCTAATGTCTCAGAGTGCGTGCCCTCCCAGCACTCTTCCTGCTGGTGATGCAAACCTTTCCTGCTAATCTGCTTTTCTCTCCACTGACCTGTCCTATGCTTTGTGACCAGAAGTTGGTGGCCTTGGTGCCAAGAGGCAGTGGCTAGAGTAGGCAGTGTCAGGGGTGGAGGGGAGGTATGGCCCTTACTGACAGATCCCAGCCGAGGTCTCAGCCTGTGCTGCTAGATAGGGAAACAGGGGGCCCTTTTAGGACCTGCCTGAGCCTCAGCTAGCTTCCCTGTAAGAGTCCAGTGCTATGTGTGTTGATGGAGGGAGGCAGGTCCCACCTGCTAACGTGCAGCCCAGGAGGCAGGGGTGTCCTCACAGCACTGAAGTGGCATCTAAACTTGGCTGTTCCAGGGCTTTCTCGGTGCTCTCTAGCCCAAGCAGACTCCCCAGTGGGCCACTGTGGTATGTGTACCTGTCTGTGCATGTGTATGCCTGTGTATCACGAGGGCACACTGTGCAGGGGCCTCTGGTTGTGCCCAGGTCTAAGGGAAGTGGGCACTGAGAACATTTGTGCTTCTGCCTGTGAGTCCCTATAGATCTGGCCACCCTTATCTGCCCATGTGGGAGTCATGTCAGGTCTCATGTTTGGCTCTATGCACATGCATGTGTAAATGTGTACACACATGTGGGCCTGTGTCTGCTGCATGGGGTGTCTGTGGGCAAGGTGGTCTGTGTGTTTCCTTAGATGAGTTTGGGGGTCTAGGGAGGTCTGTTTGCCCTCTTGTGGATATAAAACTTGTTGGCCACAGACAATCCAACTTTCTTTTTCAAACACAAAGTCTCACATATTTATTACTGCACCAGCTTATTTGTGAACAGCACATAAACAAAGAGAAAACTCATTTTCCTAATAAAGTGTGGCCAACTGTCCAACTGATGACATTTTCAGCTTGATATGGTAAAATGATAGTGACCATAATACAGCATAAGTATGTGTCATCTCATGTGCAATTTCTTATAGACTCCATTTAGTTCTTCTCCAGTATCTCCTCTTTGAGTTGTATCTGATTTTATTACCAGTTTTCATTCGAATCCACTGGGGAATGGGATGATTTTGTTTTTGTTTCTTGGGCAAAAACTGCTTAATTCTAAAAGTCTTGTGAGGGGACATGGTGGCAAACGGGACTAATCACACTCACCACAATGGAGGAAAGAGCGAGAGAGAGCCCAGCTTCTTTTTGTCTTTTGCTAAATGGAAAATGCAGACTCCTGCAAAAACCTGGCAAGCTGCAAGGGGCTGCAGAGCAGTGGTTTGCTCCCACCCTGGCACTGCTCCTGAGCTACACTGTTCTGGGTTGGTCTTCACTTCCCTCCCACCTCCCTGCTTCTCTTCCTTGGCTTATTCAGCTGAATCCTGACTTATTCAGCCTCAATTTGTAGACAGCTGGGTGGTTTCTGGCTGTGCTTTGCAGGCAGCACTGCAGATGACATGTGTAATCATCAGGGTTCAGAGCCGTTCCTCTGTGTAGACTTTGGGTCAGGGGGTTACAGAGTCTGTGCGTTTTTAGTCTGGGGAGACTTTAGTCCACTGCCCAGAGATTGCAAGGCCATCACCGCACACTCTCAGGCCAGCTCCTTTCATGAGAGTCATTGAGCCTGCAGTCAGGTGAACCTTGGATGGGGCCCTTGCTCCCCTCCAGTGTCCTGTGCCCTTTGAACATTGAGCTCAGAGATGGGCATGTCAGACTGAGGGGCTGTGCTTGCTGAGGTATCTACACACCACCCTTTAGTTTCGAGATCAGGGACTAAGGTAGGGGGCCACTAAGTGGGTGGCCACCAGGGAATGTGGAGCTTGTGTTATCCAGTAGGAGGAGACTGAAGCTCCTTGCCTAAGGTTAGGGGAGAGGTTGTGTTGGGGCTAAATTTTGTGATTGGGGTGTGTTTGTGGGGTGGGACAGAGATGCAGCTCAATTCTTGCTCCTGGACACCAGAGAGGCAACAGAGAGAGGTACAGGCTTGGTGCATGGTGGCCTCCCTCATCCTCCTCAACCCCTGTGGCCCAGGGGTCTGCAACCAGAGCTGGACCGGTCTTGGCTGGAGAGTGAATGACTGACCACAGCCCCAGCATAGTGTACCCAGCTGTCCTAGCGGTGGGGCTGACCACATGTAGCTTCACTCTGGGCCTCCCTGGGGGAGATGCTAGAGGACCCTGTTGCTTCCTGTGCCTCCTAGAAGGGACCCAGGGCTACAGCTGGCCTCTCTGCCTAGATCCCTGTGCTGCCTTGAGCCCAGAGCCTGATATCACACTCTCTCTAGAGCTGGACTCTCTGCTTAGGCCTTGAGCCTGGGGCCTGAGCCCACACTTTCTCTAGAGCTGGTTGTTCCAGATGGGATTTTCCTCAAACCCTAGGAGGGGAGGAGCTCAGATTCAAAGAAGAGAATCACTCCCTTAGGGTCTCTCATGATCAGTAAGTCTGGGACCCTCCTTTATTCCACCAGTGTCTGGCTGAGTTGGGGACCATGAGCCCTAACTAGGTTTTGTCTCTGTGCTTCTAAGCCTATCTTAAGGGCTGGTCTGGCTCCTTGTTAAGGAGGGATGGGTACCCTGGGGGTGGGAGGTACAGGAACCCTGGGGAGGGGGGATGGTAGGGGTGGGGACCTTTGTAGCAGCAGGGTAGGGAAACTGAGGGGCACCGGAGGTGGGCGCTGTACTTAGGACTCTGGGAAGCCGGCTGCAGGGTCATTCTAGCTCCAGGGCTTTAAGTGAAGAGTCTCCAGGAGCCCCTTCTGCTGCAACCCCATTGCCTAATCTGGGGCTGCTGTGGTCTGTACCCTGTGCCCTTGAGGCTCAGAAAGGTGGCTTTGTCCTGGGTAGGTTGGGCTTTATTCCAGCCAACTGTGAGCCTGTGAACACCATTCTGTGGAAATGTCCATTTTCAGAAATGAATTTAATTTTTCAAATCATCCTATGAGGCATTTTTGGGGTATAAAGGAGAGGCCGGGAAGGAGGCTGAGCTGAGCTCTGTATGATTGGGGGGCCTGCCTCAGACCATGAGTCCTGGGCAAGTCCAGGGGTGTTGGGGAGTAATAGGACCTGGGTGTGCATCAGTGTGGGGGAGCAGACCCACATGTATGCATTGGCGAGGCCATGCCCAGTGACTTTGTCCCCAGGTGTGCTGAGCACATAGTTGAGTGTTATTCTCATTGACACTTCATGGAAGTGTGGCAGACATCCTCCACTTCTGCTTCAGCACTCCTGCGACTCAGGAGTTCATACTGCATGCACCAAAGTATGCACATGCACACAGCAGACACACGTGGAAACACTTGTGTGCATGTGACCACTTCAGCTCCAGCCATGTGAGCTCTGGTAGGTAGGGGTGGTACCCTGACCCTCAGAGCTCAGGACTGTCCTTCCTGCTCCCAGACTCCCATCAGCTCCTATAGACAGGCCTCTAGCTGTAGCTCTTGGTCCTGAAGGGTGAGTGCTCCCAAGAGTGCCTGGCCATTAAGACTAGCAAGAGGCCCTGCCCAGCTGCCTCTAAGTAGGTAATTGGGTGGCTTTGCTCTTTGAAAAGAGATGAATGATTCTGGGCCAGTTTTCCCTAGGGTGGGAGGTAGATTCTCCAGGGAAACAGAGAGAGAGAGCACTCTGTGTCTATAAAACTGAGAGGGCCATCCTACACCCTGGGGTCTAGGATGCTTACCATGCCACTGGACAACCAAAGCCTCTCTGTCTTCCACCACCAGTCAGCACTGAGCCATCTTCGGGGAGGTCATAGCTTAGGGGTTCTGCCTCCCTGACCCTCCTATGCAGACAGGGTCCCCAGGCATGGCTGAGGGAGGCTGGCCCTGGACTGGAGCAGTTGAGAGGGGCCAGATAGGGTTCCTGCAGGAGCTTCTCAGTCACCTCCCAAATACCCTAACCCTTAGGCCCTGAGTCATTCACCCACTTCACAAATATTTTCCTAGGAATACAGCTGCGAACAAAGAGAAAAGGACTCTGGCTCTCACAGGGCTGACCCTTAGTGGGGGAGGCAGGAGGTGGGCATAGCAGAGGGGACTCTGGGAGAAACAGCAGGGAGGCTAGCAGGGGAGGCCAGGAAATTGGGGGAAGGCAAGGGCCCCAGGAAAAGGAGGGCCCAGGAATCAGGTTCTCAGGTTAGAGGTTGGGGAGTAAGGGGCTGAGCAGATTGAGGAAGAAGCGGTTATAGGGTACTGCCCTGGGGAATTGAGTGGGGAGAGAGGTCAGAGGTCAGAGGTCAGGATGGCATGCAGAGTCTTGTGGGCAGCACCCTGGTCAAGGCCTTCAGGAGTCAGGGTCTGCAGAGCAACTGGGGTGTGGAGTCCTCCATTTTCTCTCTAAAGCTAAGCCTGCCTTGCCATGTGTCCCTAGCCCCATGGGGTGTATGTAGGCAGCAGGTTCCAGCTGAGGAAACCTGGCTGCAAATCTTCCATTATGACTGAAATACACAAACAGGAAGAGGGTAAGATTGCTCCTTTGAGGGCCCAGGACCAGCTCAGGGATGAGGGTGGGTTGTTTGAGTCAATTACCAAGGCATGTGATGCTTCCTCCCACCCCACAAGAGCCCCAGTCTAAGCAGAGGAGTGCAGCCCAGCACTGGTTGTGCCCCTCCTCCATGCCCAGGCCCCAGCAACCAGCAATTGGTTCTGTGCTCAGAGCCCCAGCACTCTGGGCCTGGCCTTGGGTGGCCTCATACACACAAAGTGATAGCCAGTGTGGTTGGAGATGTAGAAAGGAATGACAGCATCTCATCCTGTTCCCAGGCTGGAAGAAGTTGTGGTCACTTGGGGGTCACAGGTATGGTGGGCATGGACCGGGATCACTCGGGCACTCCATGCAGTGAACTTGCATGTGGTGGGCAGGAATGTGTGTATGTCCTGTGACCTGGTGCTGGTGCCTGTAGCCCAGGATGGGCCTGGGAGCATCGAGAGCTGATGCTGGCTGACTGTGATCCCAGTGCCCAGTCCGTGTACTCTTGCCAAGCGACCCCTGTACAGCAGGGCTGACTCATACTTAAATCCTGGGGCTTTAGAGTTTGTGGTTGGCTCCTGCAAATCACTGTTACTTAGACAAGAAAACTAGGCCTTGAGAGGACCTGCAGGCTGTTCATCCTCCTCCATGGGGCCACACAGTTTGACTGGCTTCTGGGTCTGAGAAGTGCGAGCTCAGCCCTGGGACACTACAGTAGCCAGAACTCTTGACCACAGGCCAGGCTCTCCCTCTGTGGGCATATGAGGCATGGGTGGAAGTTTGGGGAAAGGATGGTGTGAGGCAGGTACTGTCTTCTGGATACCTCAACTTGGGGCTCCTGGGCAGGGGAGAACAGATCCAGGCTGGCAGCTGGTAGGGTCAGAATGATGGGCTCTT